AAAAAAAAAAAAAAGAAAAGAAAAGAAAAAGAAAGAAAGAAAGAAAGAAAAAGAAAATATCAAGAGGAAATGTGATTTGAAGCATTTATCATATTCCTTAAATTCACAGGGCTTCCTATACAACTTGAATATTTTCATGTAGTTGAATTGGAGTGTTTTTTTCCTCATTGCTTAGATGTTTTTCTCAACTGTTTCACATGTGAATATTCAGGCTTTTCTCCATTCCATATAGATTATGTTCTATACATATTAAAACATATATGTATATGTCATATAGTTCATTTGTGGGCTACAGAAATGGCTTAGCAGTTATGCAGTTTCCCATTACCACAAATTATACAGTCAAGTTTCCCCTATTTTGGGAAAATGCAGGGGTCAAAACATTTGGAGTACAATGAATAGGCCACGCCCTGTGAAAACCAGCTTTATGATCACAGTAGCTCCCCTGCCAGCAAAATTTTTTTTTTTTTTTAGAGACAGTATCTTAGTTACTCTTCTTTTGTTGTAACACCATGACCAAGGCAATTCTTATTTTAAAAAGCAGCAGCAGCATTTATTGGAGGCTTCCTTACAGCTTTAGAGTCCATTATTTTGGTAAGCAGCCGAGAGGAATGACGCTGGAGCAGTAGCTAAGAGTTTCACATCCTGATCTGCAGGCAGCAGTCAGAGATATACTGGGACTGGCATGGGCTTTTGAAACCTCAAAGCCCACCTCCAGTGACACCTCCTCCAACAAGGCCACACCTAATCCTTCCCAAACAGTTACACTAATTGGGGACCAAGCATTCAAACATGAACCTTCCTTCAAACCACCACAAACAGGGTCTCAACCCTGGCCAGCCTCAAATTTACCATGTCAAGGGTAACTTTGAACTTCTAGTCCTCCGGCTTCTTCCTCCTGAGTACTAGGATGATAGGCATATACAACGGTTTTGTTTTTGTTTTGAGATGGGTTCTAATGGCACCCTAGATGGCCTCAAACTCACTATGTAAGCAATACTGGCATTGAATTCCTGATCATTCTGGCCTCATGCCCCCAAGTGTTAGGACTAGGTTAGTGTGCCATTATTTTCATGCTATTTGTCTTTTTAAAATTGATTCAGCAGGGTGGTGGTGGCACATGCCACTAATCCCAGCAATGGGGAGGCAGAGGCAGGTGGATCTCGGAGAGTTCATGGCCAGCCTGATCTATAGATAAAGTCCCAGGACACTAAGGGCTGCATGGAGAAACTCTTGTCTTAAAAAAAAGAAAAAGTAAAAGAAAAAAGATTTATTCATTATTTTATGTGCATGAGTGTTTTACCTACATGTATTTATGTGCAACACATGACTGTCAGGTACCCCCAGGAGCCAGAAAAGAGCATCAGATGAGCTGGACCTGGAATTACAGGCATGATTGAAAGCCACCTTGTGGGCACTGGGAACCAAATACTATATCCTCTAAAAGACTAACTAGTGCTCTTAACTACTAAGCCATCATTTTAGCCCCACCCCTTGATTTGACATTTAAAGACTGTATATTCAAGAAAATGTCTTAAAAAAAAAAGAAAGAAAAGAAAAGCCAGATCTTGTTGTATAGCTTAGGTCTTAAACTCAATCCTACTACCACCTCTCAAATTTTAGAATTGTACAAACAGGGGCCATAGCACTCAGACCTGCATGGAACTAAAGCTTCTGGGTAGTCTAAAGGGTTATTTATATAGAATACAATATATATATTTGTTAGAGCTGATGCAACTAAGTAACAGACCAGGTAGCTTGAACATGGTTATTTATTTATTTCTTACAATTTGGAGGCTGGAAATCAACAATCAGCATAACTCAGGTAGTTTCCTCTGGAGGCCATAGTAGAAACACTTGTGGTAGCCATCTGTCTCTATCTGTAGAAGGCCATTTGAAGACTTCCCATAGTCTTTGTAAGCATGCTGCACCTTAACCTTATGAGGACATCAGTCACTCTGCCCTATTGGACACATTGCAACTTCCTTCCCTTGCTATTATCTTTGTGTGTAAGTGTTTTGCCTGCACATGTGCACTCTATGTATGCTGAGTGCCCACAGAAGGCAGAAGAGGGAGTCAGATCCCCTGAAACTAGAGTTATGGATGGTTGTGAGTTGCCATGTGAGTGCTGGGAACTGAACCCATGTCCTCTGCAAGAGAAACAAGTGCTTGTAACTGTTTGAGCCATCTCTACAGTCCCTCATTTTAATTTTTAAAATGTATTAGTATTGGGGGCTGGCAAGAGGGCATGTGAGCCTCACTCAGAGGTCACAGGACAGCTTTGAAGTGCCAATTCTCTCCTTACACTGTGGGGACCTAAGACTAGAATACAAGTTGTCAGTATTATATAGAACATGCTTTTATCTGCTGAGCCATCTCACCAGCCATCATTCCAATCCTTTAAGATATTATTTATTACTGTGGCATATGTGGGAAAGTGGACAGTGGACAGACATATGGAGGTCAGAGGACAACTTTAATGCATTGCTTCTTCTACCTTGTTGAGGCAGGGCATCTCTCTCATTCTTTCTGCCATGCTGCGCACTCCAGGCTAGCTGGCCTGCAAGCTTCCAGGTGATTCTCCTGCCTCTGTCTCCTATCTGGTAGGATTGTTGAGAATACAGATGCATTCCACTATATCTGTCTACTTTACATGGATGTGGATCAGATTCAAGTTGTAAGACATTCACAGCAAGTGCCTTTATCCACTGAGCCATCTTCCCAACATTCATTTTAATTTGTTTGACATGGAGTATTTGTGTTCCCCCATCTTCAACCTCCTGAGCAGCTACCACACAGCACTGCTCCAAGCTATGTATATAATTGTAACAGTTTCTCTCGAGGGTGAGTATCATCATGTCTTCAAAGTAAACTAGAGCAAATAATTGCCTTCTCACATAGCTAACATCAATTAAGCTTCTCGCTAGTGAGTTCTTTCGTGCCTTCGAAGTGAACGAGGATGACTGTAGGCTTTCCCACATTGCTGACACTTATATGGTTTTTCTTCTGTGTGAGTGTGACCTATTTCATGAATTCGGAAGGAACTGGGACAGATGAAGGCTCTCCCACACTCCTTGCATTCGTAGGGCTTCTCTCCAGTGTGGGTTCTCTCGTGTATCTGCAATGAAGTGGAATGACTGAAGGCTTTTCCACACTGCTTACACTCATAGGGCTTCTCTCCAGTGTGGATTCGCATGTGAATTTTAAGGTGAGTGGAATAGTTAAAGGCCTTCCCACATTCCTTACATGTGTATGATTTTTTGGCACTGTGAGTTCTCATGTGATTATTAAGACATGAAGGATATCCAAATGCTTTCCCACAAATCTTGCACTCACATGTCTTCTCTTCAGCATGCATTTTCAAATGTCCATTAAGATTTGAGGAGATAGCAAAGGCTTTTCCACATTTGACACACACAAAAGGCTTTTCTCCTGTGTGAGTTCTTATATGTTGAATAAGTCGTGAGGATGTAAGGAAAGCTTTCCCACATTCCTTACATTCATAGGGCTTATCGCCATTGTGAGATCTGACATGTATACTAAGTCCTGAGTACTGAGTGAAAGCTTTCCCACACTGATTACATACATAGGGCTTCTCTCCAGTGTGAGTTCTTCCATGTATCTGAAATGAATTGGAATAATTGAAGGCTTTCCCACACTCCTTACACTCATAGGGCTTCTCTCCAGTGTGAGTTCGCATGTGAATATTTAAATACGCAGGGTATCTATAGCCTTTCCCACATTCCTTACATCTGTAAGGTTTCTTCGCATTGAGAGTTTCTATAAGAACAGCAAGTCTTGAGTTCATAAAACTTCTCCCATATTCATTCCAGTCATAAAGTTTGTCTCCATTGTGAGTTCTTCTTCTGTGTGTCTGAAGCTGTGTCTCATTAATAAAAGACTTCCCACGGTCACTGCATTCCAAAGATTTCTCTTGTGAAGCAATTTTCTGATTAGCCTTCACTGGGATCATACAGGTTTCTTCACTCTGACTGAACTCACAAAGTTTCTCACCAGCACAGTTTTTCTTCTGAACCATTAGAAAGTCTTTTCTATACTGACTACAGTGATAATTATCCTGTGTGGTTTGAGTTTTCGTATGTGTCTTAAGAGAAGAGCGTTCATTGACAAAGTCTCCAGATTTTGTCCAGTTATAGAGCTCCCTTCCATTCTGGCTTTCTGTCTGCTGACAAGAGTGAAGAACAACATTTTTTTTTCCTTTGCAGCCAATTGGTATGGTTATAACCATTTGATTATAGCAAAACATTATAATTATGATTATTTTTCACTACGTGTGAAACGTGAACTATATAGTTCATACTTTGTTAAGTGCTCACAGGTAGTGTAATTAAACACTCCAGAATGCTGTGTCATCTGGTCTAATCTTGAAAAGAATTCTATACCATTTGAAGAAAAAGATGTAATTTGTATGAGTTCTGAAGCAGTGAGTTTCATGACACCCTGGCGGCACAATTTCATATTATTTCTTCAGACATTTGTTCATGGGCATTATCTGCTTCTCTCAAACCTCCTATAATGAAATCACTAGTTTTCTCCCTCAAAGGGCTTTAAGCCTCTAATTTTCTTTGAGACTAACAATAAGGTTTTTTTATTCTTACCATTTGCATCCCATTGGATATGCTGCTGCCCTTCAAAACTCCCTGCTGGGGTGCTAAACATTTGGTTTCAAGCTGCATTTTCCATTCTGAAGTAAAACAGAAAAATAAATGTAAGAGTTTGGAGAAAGAAATGGAAAACGGGAGTTGAAAAATAAGGCTTGAGCTAGAGAGATGGCTCAGTGTTTAAGAGCACTGACTGCTCTTCCAGAGGACCCAGGTTCAATTCCCAGCACTCACGTGGCAGCTCACAACTGTCTTTACCTCCAAAACCTGACACCCTCACACAGACACCCATGCAGGCAAATACCAATGAAAATAAAATAAAAATAAATTATTTTTAAAAAATAAGGCTCATGTATTTTTATTTTGAATTTTAAAAGGTATAAGAAAGTAGAAACAGATGAGGATTTTTTTTCTGTCCTATTTGCCAAACTAAGCAGCTAAGCCTTGAACTCACTACGCAGCCCATACTGTGCTAACTTCATAACCATTCTGCCTCAGCTTCCGGAGAAGAATTACAGGACTGTGCCATCATGCCAGGCAAAGATAATGACACGGGATCAAACTTTTTGATAGTATTAAAAGTTGATTCTATAAAAATGAAAACCGATGGTAATGGTGAACAGAAATTATCAGGGAAAGAGTAGAAAATTTCTAGAAAAGAGCATTTCTAAAAGCAGTAAGTTTAAATAAACTAAAAGAATATTGGAAGTTAAAGATTTTCCTTCTTGCCTCAGAGTCCTGAGACAAATTTTATTTAGAACCACTTCATTATAGGAGCTGGATTGCTTAAATGGATAAAGTGCTTATTGCACAAGTTCAGATCCCCAGAACTCACATAAGGCTGAGCATGATAGCATGTATCTGTAATTCCAATACATTTATGACAAGATGGGAGACCGAGACAGAATTATCCTGAGGGCTGCTGGCCTAGCACATGGTAAACAAAGATACTGTCAAACAAAGTGGAAGGTGAGGACAGACACAAAAAGTTGCTCTCTGACTCCAAAATACATACTGTGGCAACCAGCATCTACATACACACATCATACACAGATTTCCTGAGTGTGCGCACACACATATGCATGTATCACAGCGTGCATGTACAGGTCAGGGGACTTGGGGTGTTGGTTCTCTTTCCACCAAGTGGGTTCCAGGGACTGAACTCAAATCGCCAGGCTTGGCTGCATATGTCTTTTCCTGCTGAGCCATCTCTCCAATCCAACACAAGGGTTTTGTTTTTATTTTCAGTTTATATCAGTTGTAAACATACTAAGCTTTCATTAAATAGGATTTGCAAGCCCAGAGGTGGTGGCACATGCCTTTAATTCCAGCACTCAAAGCAGAAGCAGATGGATCTCCGTGAGTTCAAGGCCAGCCTGATCTACAGAGTGAGTTCCAGAACAGCCAGGACTACACAAAGAAACCTTGTGGGGGTGGGGGTGGGGGTGGGGGTGATTTCCATGAATACTGACCTGGGAAAACTATCTTCTGACCTGTACTAAACTCTTCTTGTTCCAACCAAGAGACCAGACAGGGTTTGATGAGCTGATATCCTGTTCACAAGGTAAGACACATTGGTTAGAATGCTCAGACAGAAAAAATGACAGAACTTCCCAGGGCTCAAGAGTTAGAATTTTTGCTTTTTTTTTTCTTCTTGCTTTGAGACCAGAGGGCCTACATAGCCTATGGCTGGCTTTATGCTCACAGAAATATTCCTCTTTCAGCTTGAATTCCAGACATGTGCCACTAAACCTGGCCAGGAACTAGAGTTGTAATGATAACAGAGAAATTATTTTTAATGGGCTAGTAATTAAGTACCACCTGTCTATGCCTCAAAAGTTTAGTTTGCTCTGGAGCATGAGACCCCAATTAATTTAGTCTCTCTCTCTCTCTCTCTCTCTCTCTCTCTCTCTCTCTCTCTCTCTCTCTCTCTCACACACACACACACACACACACACACACACACACACACATTTACAAAGCACTGGAGGTTCCTTTCTGTAGTCCTGGGATTGCACCCAGGCCCCTGCAAGTGATAGGCAGATATTCAACCACTGAGTCATATCTCGACCCAGGACTTTCTTTTTATTCAAACAGGAAGTAAGAACTGCAACAGTCAGAATAGGGGGGTGGCGCACGCCTTTAATTCCAGAACTCAGGAGGCAGAGGCAGGCGGATCTCTGTGAGTTCCAGGCCAGCCTGGTCTACAGAGTGAGTTCCAGAGCTACACGGTGAAACCCTATCTGAAAACAAATAATCAAGAGAGAGAGAGAGAGAGAGAGAGAGAGAGGGAGAGAGAGAGAGAGATAACTGCAACAAAAAGATCTTTGTTCTTCTAGGGAAATTAACTACAAGTGGTTTATATATAGTATTATTCATCACAGTCATCAAGACAATCAAACTTTCTTTTTTAAAAAGATTTTATTTATTTATTTATTATATATACAACATTCTGCTTCCATGTATATCTGCACACCCGAAGAGGACACCAGATCTCATAACAGATGGCTGTGAGCCACCATGTGGTTGCTGGGAATTGAACTCAGGACCTCTGGAAGAGTAGTCAGTGCTCTTAACCCCTGAGACATCTCTCAAGCCCAACAATCAAACTTTCTAATTATTATTGTGTATGTGTGTATAAGTGTTCATGTATGTGGGTGTGCTATGTGGTGGTTAACATCACCCCTGGCCTTTACTTGAGAGCTGGGGATCTAATTCAGGTCCTCTTGCTTGAGTGTAACCACCTTACTTACTGAGTCATTTCCCGACCCCTTCCTTAATTAAATACATGTATTTGTGGGTATGCATGTGTGTGGTATATGTGTATGTGGTATATGAACATGTGTGTGTGCAGGTGTGAATGTTTGTGCCCACATGCAAAGAACAAAGGAGGGTGCCAGGTACCATTCTCTAACACTCTCTGTCTTACTGCTTTAAGGCAGTCTCTTCTGGAACCTTGGCTTGTGTTTTTCCAGCTAGACTGGCAGCCAGTAAGTCTCTTCATTTCCAATCTCCCCTCAGTTCCACACTAGGGTTATAGATGCATTCAAGACCACAACCACCTTGTTATATAAGTACTGAGATTCTCACCCCAGGTCCTCAGAAAGGTCTCTTAACCACTGAGCCATCTCATGAACTCCAAGAGAGCTTAATGACACACAAGTGCCATAAGATTTTACAACGAGGTTTCTAATTTAGCCTATTAACATGGAGAGGGAAAACATATACTTTCTTTTTGGGGTGGGGGGAAGGGTTCGAGGTAGGGTTTCTCTGTGTAGCATGGTTGTCCTGGCATTTACTCTATAGACCAGATGGCCTCCAACTCAGATCTGCCAGCTCTGTGTCCTAAGCACGGGGACTAAAGGCACGTGCCGCCACTACCCAGCAAAAATTTTAGAGGCCTTGGACTTTTTGAGATCGACCCCAGTACATTAAAACATATTTAGAGTGGTATACGCCTTTAATCCCAGCATTCAGAAGGCAGAGGCAAGGGTAATATCCGTGAGTTTGAGGTCAGCTTGTTTACCTGCTGAGGCCAGGTTCTGGTAGTTCTCCAACGTCACCTCTCTGTAGAGGCTTCTCTGGGCTGGGTTCAGGGAGGTCCACTCCTCTTGGGTGAAGTCCACAGTCACATCCTTAAAGCTTACTAACTCCTGAAATATTGCAGACATGCTGGTTTTAGCTAAATAAGATCTTTGTGTATGAATATGAGAGGTGAGGAACTGGGACCGAACACCTACAGAAAACTCTTTAGCCTCCAATTATCTAACACCAAGGTCCAGTGGCTTTATAAACTCCTCTTTAAACTTGTGTGTGTGTGTGTGTGTGTGTGTGTGTGTGTGTGTGTGTGTGTGCGTGCGTGCGTGCGTGCGTGCGTGCGTGTGTGTGTGTGCGCGTGTGTACATGTATACTGATAGGTATACTTGCCTGTGCAAATTCATGTTAAGGCCAATGTTAAGGATGATGTTGGGATGTCTTCCCCAATGAATTCTTCACCTTATTTTCTGAAAGAGTTTTTCATTAAACATAGAAATTGCTGTTTCAGCTACACTGGCTGATCAGAGAGTCCTGGAATCTACCTGTCTCCACCCTGGCTAGAAATGGAACCCAGAATCCTGACTGAGCATGCTAAGCTCTACCACTGAGCTCCATCCTCAGCCCTAGGCTCACTCTTAATTTCCTCAAGTCACATGGCCCTGCTGAAAAGGAACTGGCACCAGCAGCACACAGAAAACATCAAGGTATTTCTCCGTATTAAGCACAGAGGTCAGCACTTCCTAAGGATGTGATGGATGTGAGACATGAAGAAATGTCTGTAGAAAAGGAGACTGTCATCTACCTTGTCATCTGCCAGAGAAGTCAATAATGGAAGAAACGTTCAGGAGACCAAGGGCCAGCGAGATGGCTCAGTGGGTAAAGTTACTTCCCACCACGCCTGATGACCTGAGTGTGATCCTAAGACACACATGATGCAAGCAGAGAATTGTCCTCTGAATCCACACACACTGTGGCATGTGCTCATGTAAACATTTGCATCTACACATGCGCACTCGCATGCCCAGCCACACACATAAGTAATAATAAAAGAAAGGAGAGTTGACACCATGAAGATAAAGCCAGGTTATTACTGAAAAATCAGGACTATCTGTAAGCTTCCAAGTCACTTAACAGGAAAAGTTTTGTCATAAGTCACTGTCAACTTGACACAAACCTAGACATAGCTGGGAGTAGAGAGTCTCAGTTGAGGAACTACCTTCATCAGAGTGGCCTGTGGGGCATTTTCTTGATTTCTCATTGATTAAGGAAAGTCCAGCCCATTGTAGGTGGTACCATTCCTGGGCAAGTGGGTCTAGGATGTATAAGAAAGGTAGCTGAGCAAGCCAGTTGCATGAGCCAGTAAACAGATTGCACCATTGGTCTCTGTGCCAGTTCCTGCCTCAAGTTCCAGCCCTGGCTTCCCTTGGTGCTGGATTATGATCTCAGCATTGTAAACCGAAACGAATCCATTTTCCCTCCAACTTGCTTATGGTCCTGATATTTATCATGGCAACACAAGGCAAACTATAACAGGCTCCATCTTTCAGTAAACTGTACAGGGAACTAGATTCTTAGATGAGGATCCACTTGCTCTAAACAGATCTAGAGATAAGTTTGTCCAGAGGACACTGTCTACAGGTGGAGCATTTTCAATGTGTGTGTATGTGTATTTTTTTTTTTTTACCTGATAATTTGTCAGGCAGTCAGTCAACATCGTTTCTGATGATACCTTTTCTTCTCGAAGGCAGAAGTCCCCCGAAAGATCTTATGGAAAAGGAAGCAGGTATGAATACTCAGTTGTCCATAATTTCATTCTTAGGCAGGGAAGTCATTCCACCCTACTACAAAAGCCTTAGACACGTGAACACACACACACACACACACACACACACACACACACACACACACACACACACACGAGTGCTCTTCCTCACCTCTATGTGCCACAGGATGCTAAAGCAGTCCTGTCCCATCTATCACCTGAAAGAAGGATGGCTAGGGATGCTGCTTATTAGAATAACTCTTATTAATAACTGAAAGGTTCAGGCATTATGCTGGCCTGCCCCTATTACCTGGTGGAACAGGCAGTACCCTGGTCAGCCCAAGGTTCCATGGGAACTAAATCTGCATGCAGGTGCAGAGGACCCCTTTAAAAGACAGGTCCCTGCCCATTTACACTCTCTCTGTTTCCTCTCGGCTTTCCTCGCTGCTTCCTGTCTACTCTCTTCTCCCACCTGTGCTCTCTCTCAGTCTGTCTATGGCAACAGGCCATGGCAGTCAGCCATTTACCCTGTTCCTTTCCTCTTCTATGTCTCCCTACTCTGCCGGGCCTTATAATAAACTTATAGTCAACATGTCTCATGTCTCAGCATTTTTCTTTTCTTCTTTTTAAACAAAAGAATAACAATAACAGCCTCATTTCACAAGTAAGGAAGCTTTATGCCCTGAAAATGCTACTTTATCAGTGCTGGAGCTAGCGCTCAGTCAGTTCAGTATTTGCTGAGCATGTATGAAGCCCCAGGGTCCATCGTAGCATAAAAATGGGCATGATGGTGCATACCTGTCATCCCAGCTAAGAGGTAGAAGCAAAAGGATCCCCTGGAACTGGAGTTAGACAGTTGTGAGCCACCACTTGGGTGCTAGGAGCTCTTCTGCAAGAGCAGCAAGTTGAGCCATCTCTGCAATCCTGAGAACTATCTTTTTAGAGAGCTCTCAGCAACATAAGCTATTCTGGCTCAGAACACAGTGCTGGAAGTTCCTAGGTGAACCTTAGGAATTCTTCTGAGGAACAGAATCAGAAGACCTTACCATGGGACGACGGAACAGTCGCTGCCATCCTGTAACAGGGAAGTGTGCCCGAATAATCCTTCCACTGGGGCTGTCATCACTTTAGTACAGCTGGTGAGTTTCAGTGGACAGTGGCACTCTCCACTGCCTGCTGTACACAACCATTAACATTCCTGTAATATCAACCACTAATTAACATGAATGACTTAGTCATTATCTGTCAATGATCATACATAGCTATATGCAGGAAGTACACACGAAGATCACTAAACACAGTACTCTCTGAAATGTGAATTCTAGTGAGACTAGCTGCCATTTACTGAGGAATGCTATGTAACACACACACACTTGTGTGTGTGTGTGTGTGTGTGTGTGTGTGTGTGTGTGCGTGTGTTTGCGCGCACACATGCACAAGCATGTGTTCAATGAATCATTATAACCACCCTTCACAGTAAATACAACTGCCCTAAAAAGATCTACATTCAGAGCCAAGTACTGTGGTACACGAATGCAATGCCAGTGCTGTGGAACAATCTTTTGTACACTGTGAATATTTGTTGCTCTCATTAGCTTGGTAAGGGCAAAATGGCCAATATCTAGGCAGCTTAAGTGGGACTTGTGGACAAAAAGACAGTACGGGATGAAGAAGGAAGGAGTTGCCAGCTAGAAGCAGAAGTAGAAGATGAACATGCCGTGCTGAAAAAAAGGTAACATCACCTGGTAGAGCATAGGTAAGAAATACGGGTTTAGTTGAAAGAGCTAGTTAGTAACAAGCCTAAGCTATTGGTGGAACATTTATAATTAATAAGTCTCTGTGTGGTTATTTGAGAGCAGGCTGGTAGGATAGAAAATTCCACCTACACGCCAGCCCTGAGGAGGCTAAGTCAGGGGAATTGCTGTGAGTTCAAAGACAGCCTAGGAAACAAAACAAAATCTTGCCTCAAAAAGACAGGGAGCTAGCAAAATGGCTAAGCAGGTAAAGGCACTTGCCTCCAGACAGTGTAAGCTTGACAGCTTGAGTTTGATCTCCAGGACCAATGTAAAGGTGGAAGGCAAGAACCAACTCTACAAACTGTCTTCTGACTTCTACTCATTAAATGACATGTGCACACATGTCCCCTTGTCCCCACATCATACATTACATATATACACACAGAAAATAATCATAAAATTTAAAACAGAACAAAACAGAAAAGACTCTATATTCAGAGAGCATTTGTGGTTGCTCATTTATCACCCAGTTTAAAAATGATGATGCAGGATTTGAAGGCTGGTAAAGGTTTCTTTCATTAGTGTGCAAACTTGCTCTCATCTTTAACAAGTGGTAAAATTACAGATACAATGAGCAGATGGTTATTTCCTTGTATGCATGTTTTCTGTACATGTAGAGGCCAGATGGTGTCTGATGCTCTTCCCTATTCATTTAAGACGGGGCCTCTCCCTGAACCTGGAGCTCACATTTTCTCAGCTATGCTGAAAGCCAGCAAGCTCTAGTTAAAGATGTTAACTGGACACCTGGTTTGATATATGAGTGCTCAGATCCACAGCAAATGTTCTTAAACACTGAGCCATCTTTATGGTTCCAAAATAATAATTGGTCCCAAAACCAATAATTCTTTGGTTTTCAGGTATATTTTTGTTAGTGGTGGCATTTGATTCTGTTTTGCAGGTGTGGGAGATGGAACTCAGGATCTCATGCAGGGTAGACAAGAGTTCTACCACTGACCTATATCCCAGTACTAACTGTAAGAGTATTTGGAAAGAAGGAACCTCAGAACATAATTTAAGCAGTAAGCAACCTCAGCAAGTCTTGGTAGGAAATACTGAACTCAAAAGACATGTCTTTGGTAGGCACGTGCCTTTAATCCCAGCACACGGGAGACAGAGGCAGGTGGATCTCTGTGAGTTCGAGGCCCGCTTGGTCTTCAGAGTGAGTGCCACGATAGGCTCCAAAGCTACACAGAGAAACCCTGTTTTGAAAAACAAAAACAAAGACATGTCTTCTCCCCCTAGCACAGGGAAGGCTAGAGTCAGCCCTGTTTAACACCTATTTTATGGGTCTTTTCAGAGAACCATCTTTTAGCAACCTTTTGTTTTAGGGTTTGTATGCTTGCCTGAAACAAGATCTCACTATATAGCCTAGGCTAGTCTCCAACTCACAGCAATCCTCCCACTCAGTCTCTCAAATCCTAAGATTATAAGCAAGTACCACCAGCATTCCTTCCTTAGGTGTAATAAGGTAGGAACAGTGTTTCATAGTGATTAATTTTTTTCACCAGAGTTTGCTTTTATTTCCTTCTCAGTTTTCTTTCTTTCTTTTTCTTGTCCCCCCCCCCCCCCGACCAGTCTCTTCAGCTCAAATACACACATCTTAACTGTGCCCTGGCGTTTTGACAATGGCTTATGTTCCAATACATGCCTAAACAAGATAAAAACGTCTCTACAGAAAGCCCACAGTCCTCCCTTTGCAGTCCTTTCTTGAATTTGTGATCTCCTTGCTTCAGCCTGCCAACTACTTGAATTACAGATATGTACCAGAATGTCTGGCTCCCACACAAGCATTTCTGTTTTTTTTTTTTTTTCTCTACCAGATATAATCTGTAAATGAAAATGGGACACGTTGTTTTCCAGATGTTGATTGTGGAGGCAAAAAAAGCCAAAAATAAGAAACAAAATTCCTAACTCTTGCTCCAGTTAACTTGTGATGCTTCTTTATCCAACGAGAACTTAACTCTCAGTAAGTCCTGGCATCTCATCCTAAATGACCAATCCTCCCCTCCCGACCCCCCGCTTTGTTAATAATTGGTTTTCTAGTACAATATGCCAATTACACCAATCTTAGGAAGGACAAATGGTTATAAAGCTTACTATCTAACAGAATAATGAACTATCTTCTTTCATCTCAATGACCCCACACAAATACAAGGCAGGTTACTGTCTCTTAGCTGCTACAGAAATGTACCCATTCTCTCTCAGAGGCAGCAAGTCCCTGAGAATTTATTTCTTTGCTGTGTTTGTCAATAATGTATAGTAGTAGTAGTAGTAGTAGTAGTAGTAGTTGTGTGTGTGTGTGTGTGTGTGTGTGTGTGTGTGTGTGTGTGTGTTTATGTAGGTCAGAGGCCAACTTTCTGAAGTTGTTTTCACCTTCACCATTATGTGTTTGTTACAGGACCATATTCAGGTCGTCAGCCTGCTGAGCCATATCTCTGGTCCCATAACGTACCCACATGGTAGCATAACACTTGTCTGTAACTCCAGTGGAGTTCCAGGGGATCTAGTACCCTCACATAGATATATAAAGGTAAAACACCAATGCACATAAAAATGAAATAAATCTTAAAAATTAAAAAAAATTAAAAACCACCTGAGCCAGATGGTAGTGGAGAATGCCTTTAATCCCAGCACTTGGGAGGTAGAGGCAGGTGGGTCTCTGTGAGTTCAAGACCATCCTGGTCTACAGAGCTAGTCCCAGGACAGACTCCAAAGCTACACAGGGAAACCCTGTCTCGAAAAACAAAACAAAACCACCTGGGAGAAATGTATTAATATCATTTTCTGGAATTATGGACTTGCCTTGAAATATTTGCTATATATATTTTATATGATTATGGGCTGGGCACATATTTTGAATTTTAGTATTTCTTGAAAAGCAAAATCTCATACCATCTTTAAAAAATGCTTATAAGCTGGGTATAGTGGTGTACACCTTTAATTTCAGTACTCAGGAGGCAGAGGCAGGTGGATCTCTGTGAGTTACAGGCCAGCCTAGTCTGCATGCTGAGTTTCAGGCCAGCCTGAGCTACACAGTGGGTAGAGACCCTGTCTCGAAACAAAAACAAACAAACAAAAAAAGGTGACCTATACCTCCAATAAAACAAAAAGGTACAGTGACTTGTACCTCCAAGCCTATCTCTGGGATCCTCAGATGAACTTGATTTAAATAGAGGGCAAGACACACACACAGCTAAGCAGTCCTGGTTGGTGTATGATCATCCCCCACATCATGACTGCCCAGGCTCCAGTCCCTCCGGCATTCTGACCTGACCTCTTTCCAAGGGACAGCCCCGTCCCCTGTCCTACCCCAACTACACACACTGGATCCCAGCCTCTCTCTTCTCCCAACACAAGATTCTTGTAGAAATAACAACTGAAGCGAGTCCATGATTTCAATAGTCTGATTTCCACCAGGACAGTTAGAGATCCTTCTGAAACTGTGCAGTCGAGTATTAACTAGATTTAACTAAATGACAAAGTTAGGTTTCTAGGAAATGTGTTACATTAAGAATGAAAGGGTGAGAACAACACTGTTTTGTGTGCTCACCCACCAGCCACAGCCTGACGGCACATGCAAGCATCCAATGTGATTTTTCATTTGTTTGTTGTTTTAATATTTTATTTATTTATTTATTATTTATACAACATTCTGCTTCCATGTATGTCTGCACACCAGAAGAGGACCACAGATCTCATTATAGATGGTGCTGAGCCACCATGTGGTTGCTGGGAGTTTAACTCAGGACCTCTGGAAGAGCAGCCAGTGCTCTTAACCTCTGAGCCATCTCTCCAGCCCTGTTGTTTGTTTTTTTTTTAAGACAGGGTTTCTCTGTGTAGCCCTGGCTGTCCTAGAACTCACTCTGTAGTCCAGGTTGGCCTCGAACTCAGAAATCCACCTGCCTGTTTCCTGAGCACTGGTATTAAAGGTGTAAGCCGCCACCACCCAGCTATGTATTCTGTTATTTTTTTCAAGTGTATGTATGTGCACTATGTGCATGCCTGGTGCCCAAGAAAGTCAAATTCCAAGTATTAGATTCCCCTGGAACTGAAGTTACCGATGGCTACAAACCGCCATGTGGGTGCTGGGAACCAAATATTGGTACTCCACAAGAGCAGTAAGTGCTCTTAACTGCTGAGCCCTCTCTCCAGTGCCCCCAAAGCACTATTTGTGGTTTTGGCCTAAAAGTATACTAATACTAATTACTATTATTATTGTGTGTTTCGGGAATCAGTCTATGACTGAACATGTATAGAAGTAGAGGGCTCTCTCACTGTGAGCTCGAGGGATTGAACTCAGGTTGTCAAACTTGGGAGCAGGCACCTTCAGCTGCCAAGTCATCTCACTGGTCCTTTATAAATCATTATTAGTGTGTGTGTGTGTGTGTGTGTGTGTGTGTGCGCAAACTCTCATGCACACATGTCTGTGTGAAGGTACAGGTGCCATGGTATACAGAAGTATGCAAACAACTTTGGAAAGCTGGTTCCATCTTTCAACTGGGGGTTTCAGGGATTAAATTCAGATCAAGCTCATACAGCAATTTTTACCCATAGGCTTACCCACTGAACCATTTCAATACCCTTTTTAAAGTTTGTGTTATTACTGTATTGTGTGGGGGTGCCCATGGTCCATGGCACCCATGTAGAGATCAAAGGGCAATTCTGGGGAGTTGATTCTCTCCTTCCACCATGTGGCTCCCAAGGACTGAGCTAAGGACATCAGCCTTGGTACCAAGCACCGTTACCACTTTACTTCTTTCTCTTTTTGATCATCCCAAGTGCCAGGAGTACAGATGTGCACCTTTACTCCTGGTGACTCAACCTTGTGTTTGGGTGTGCAGGTGTGTGGAAAAAGCAGGCATGTCACATGTATCCAAGTGCCTACGGAGGCCAAGAAGAAGGTTCCAGATACCTTTAAGCTAGAATTACTGGCTACTGGTACATAAACTTGGATCCTCTGGAAGAACAGTAAGTGCTGTTAATTTGCAGAGCCATCATTCTAGTGCCACAACTCAACTAGGAATGTTAACACTTGTCATCTGGGTTATGGAGATATAAAAGATGAGCAGAACAGACTGGCTTAGCTCCCACAGGTTTATAAATCTAACTGGAGAGCCACATATGACAAAGCACATCTAAATTCCTACTATTTGAATGGAGGGCCAGAGTCTCAGTTCAAGTCATTGCTGGCTATACAGTGAAGTTAAAGCCAACCTTGAAAAATAAACAAACAAAAACCAAAATCCACACAATTAGAAAGAATACCATTAGACAAATGACAAGGTTTAAAGCCCAGTTCATAACCAGCCACTCCCACTTTGCTATCAATACCCAAGAAAACAGATCAGGGATTTCTATCTAAATCCAAGTTAATGGTCAATGGTCTCAATCTTGTTTGATAGCCCAGGGTGGCCTTGAACTTTCTACCCTCCCCAGTTTCTGTAGTGCTAGAATTATATACCTGTGGCTATCTGGCCAAGGTCAAGTGTTGAGAATGATGGTAATTAAAACATGATTGATGAACTTGTCTGCTCTCTCTAAGAAATATACAGGTAGCAGGACACAGCTGGGTTTGCAAAATCTGTCCTTCTGCTGTGGGCAGTCAAAAGCCTATTATTCATTCAATAAGCACTGGAGACTTTAAAAAATATTTTTATTGTGTGTGCATGTGTAGACATGCACATGATGAGGTCAGAGGACAACTTGCAGGAGCTAGTTCTCTCCTTCCACTGTGGGTTCCGGGGATCAAACTCAGCTTCCAAGTCTTGCATGGCAAATTCTTCTGCACATGGAGCCACCCACTGGCCCTGGAGCAAACAATCTCACCAAACACAACTTAAGGGATGATGGGTTTAATCTGGCTTTCAATTAGAGACTATATAGTCTATCACCAAGAAGGAGGCTAGGCATGAATTCAATCAGCTATTAATATCACATTGACAATCAAGAGCAAAGAAATGAATGAATCCTTGCTTGCTGGCTGGCTGGTTCTTCTGTCTTATACATACAGCTCAAAGCCCCAAACCAGGGAATGGTGGCACCTTTAACAGGCTGGGACTCCCTATAGGAATTAACCATCAAGACAATGCCCTCACAGACATGCCCGCAGGCCAATCTGATTTATACAGTTCCTTTCTGAGACTCTTTCTAGATGATTCCAGGTGGATAAGTTGACAATTAAAAGCTAACAGTCATATCACAAAGGAGAAAAATGAATAATCCAACAGGATGGGCTAAATGAAGCAGGGATAGGAACGCAGAATGGAAGAAGTATGGGGAAAGACATTAAAAGCCTTTTGAAAACACTGTATAGAAGCCTACCTACCTAAAATATATACTTATATAAAGGCTAACAAATAAAACTTCAGTACCAGGAATGGATTACCTCTTGGTGATGCTGCACAGACCTCCAAACGTTACAGATTACTGTCACTTTTCCTGGCTACCTTCTAGAACTTGAGAGTAAGAACCTATTGCTGAAGACACCACATACTTGAGTCACAGAACATGAAGAAATCAAACTGCTCTTAATAGGAAGCTTCATCCCTACCAACTAGCTTTTATTTTTTTTAATTTTTTTTATTTAAATTAGAAACAAGATTTGTTTTACATGTCAATCCCCGTTCCCGCTTCCTCCCTTCCTCCCCTACCCTCCCCCCACTAACACCCTACCTATCCAATACCATTTCTGCTCCCCAGGGGGAGGGAGGCCTTCCATGGGAGAGGGGGTCTTCAGAGTCTGTCATATCCTTTGGGATAAGTCCTAGGCCCTCTCCCGTGTGTCTAGGCTGAGGGAGTATCCCTCTATGTAAAAATGGGATCCCAAAGTCCATTCCTACACTAGGGATAAGTACTGATCTACTACAAGAGGCCCCATATATTTCCAAGGCCTCCTTACTGACATCCACATTCATGGGGTCTGGATCAGTTCCATGATGGTTTCCCAGTGATCAGTCTGGGACCGACTAGCTTTTATAGTGCTGAGTGCTAAGCATGCTATTGGGGTGTGTGTGTGGGGGGTGGGGGGATCACCAATTTTTTTTAATATGTAATTTATTTTTATTTTATGTTCACTGTTTTATCTGTATTATGTCTGTGTGAGGGTGTCATGTCAAAAGCCCTGGAACTGGAGTTACAGATAGGTGTGACCTGCCATGTGGATGCTGGAAGAGGAGCTAGTGCTTTTAACTGCTGAGCCATCTCTACAGCCCCAGAATCACCAATCTCATCCAGCTGTGAACTCAGCAAGCTCCAATAATGATCACCCTGGCAAGACATCACCTCTGATCCAACAGTGGCACAAACATTATGGGAATAACCAAACACTTTCTGATTGGATTTAAGACCCTCTGCACAAGACAGAACCAGGACCTCACATTATCAGAGCCAAGAACCTGTGGCTAATAGGTCACAGACAATGGGGGAAAACTTACCACTACTATTCTGCTAAATAGACAGAGTATTAAACAAACTCATGACTTATCACTACACCCATAGATTAGTGCACCTCCAAATCTTTATCAGAAAAGCTTCCTACAGCAGAGTGCTCAGGCCTAAATGAGACATCTGTATCATACCCTTCCCCTCAGGGCTCTGGAATCAGAAAAAGGGGAAATAGGAAAGGCCAGAGGCCACAAATGACTATAATGAAAGTGTTTCATTTGGTACTTGCACAAATGAACTCACAGTGGTTATGTAACATGTACAAGACAGGGGCTGGAGAGATGGCTCAGAAGCTAAGAGCACTGGCTGCTCTTCCAGAGGTCCTGAGTTCAATTCCCAGCAACTACATGGTGGCTCACAACCATCAGTAATGGGATCTGATGTCCTCTTCTAACGTGCAAGCAGATATGCAGACAGAACACTGTATATTTGATAAATAAAATAAATCTTAAAAAAAAAAGTACAAGACCTCTGCAAGCTCAAGCCAGACAGAATTCCAGCACAGAGGGGAAGGATGACATGAAGTCTAACACCTAGCAGAGGAATGACTGGTAGCTTATGGGAGGAGAGTTAGTTGTCAGCTTAAAACTATGACCTCTTGTAGGTTGTCTACAATTCAGTGGATGGAGTATTTGGGCAACACAAAGTGGACTAGAAGAGAGGAAGAGGAGGAGAAGGAGGAGGAGGAAAAAGAAACAGAAGCAGAAGAGCTGGGTGGGAAGGGAGAGAGGAACTGATCTGGGAGAAGTTTGGAGAGGGGAGTGAATATGATCAGTATACACTATTAAACTCTCAAAGGGAATAAAATTAAAAACAGCAGTCACAGGTATATTGTATGACAGGACATATTTCATGCTGCCATTGAGTGATTTCGAAGGGTCATGATGAGGTGTTAGCTGGAATGTATGGCTTGATTCTGACAAAAGATGCTGAATTGGTGAAAATACTAGACTATGAGTTTATGTCACATACTATTAACACAGAACTAAATACATGAATTGCTTCCATATTTACATGCCAGTATGCATTCATGATCTAAAAAGAAGATGACTATGGAACAGCAAAAATATGAGAGACCACATTCACTTAACTTTTATTATAGTATATTGTTGAAATTGTTCAATTTTTTAGCTATTTGTTCATCTCTTTACTGTACCGAATTTATAAAATAATCACAGATACATATGTTTAGGGACAGAAAATGATACACAGAGTTCTATACCCTCTACAGTTTGAGGTCTCTCCTGACATTCTTAGAAAGTATCAATCATAAGACCTGGGGAGATGGCTCAGTGAGCAAAATACTTGCTGTGTAAGCATGAAGACATTGAATGTGGACCCTAGTACCCATGTGAAATCCAATAGGTAGGCACACGTCAGTAACCCAAGCACTGGAGGGGGTGTGGGGTCAGAGACTTGTTAGCCAGTGGGTTTAGCCGAAATGGTGAGCTGCAGTTTTAATGAGAAACCCTATCTCAAGAACTAAGATAGGCAGAAGACACAGATGTTGACCTCTGAGTTCCACGTGTTATCAAAACACATAAAAATCCACATGCATATATACACAAAATACACAAATAAATGATTTTAGAACACATTTATTAAAAACAAAGTCTCTCCGATAGATAAGGGGAACATTTTATTGTTCATTTCACTCTGAAACTTGCAGATGATGGAGTTCTTTTCCAGTGAGAAAAGAACTCATGTGACCACTGCACACTGGCTATGGTTTCACTATTGAAAACACAGGCAAATGAGTAAAGAGAAGTATATATGCTGGGGGCCCCAGTAGAAACCAAAGATGCTATTTTAAAGGAGGAAAGGTACTCACACAATGTGGTAATATGAGTAAGATATGGTGATACAGACCTGGAATTCCAGCACTTAGGAGGTGGAGACAGGAAGTCCATGAGTACAGGGTCATCCTCAGCTACACAGGGAGTTCAAGGCCAGGCTGAGTCCTGTCTCAAAACAAAACCAGACATCATAGTTAACAAGGAAGAATATGCTTAGCAACTATTCCACAGTTTACATGTGAGAATGGGATAGCTAGGTGACCACACCTTTTAATGCTAAGGACAACCATCTAAAGTTTGAACAAGTGTGCTAGTTCCCACACTTGTCCTTATTAAGGACATTAAGGCTAAGGTATGAAAAGCAGTGGCGTTATACTGAGCTGCATGACAGCCGTAATGCAGCAGGATCCTTTCTATAGCACACAAACTCAAATTGCTATTCACACATCAAACCCAAGTTGCTGCTTATAAAGCCTAGGAGTCCGAGAGACCTCCACCTGAGCACAGGGGATGGGAACAGGATCCACTGTTCCGACAGCTATAATTTACCAGAGGGCCCAGAACTGACTCAACACCAGGTTGGGCCTTAACATTTATGCCAGATTTATGGGATATCCACATCCTGGAGTATTATGGGCAGTGGGTATGGAGAGTCAAAGACACAGCATTTGTGATGACCTGTTCTCAGATAGCCTAGTAGGTCTGCCATTTGCTGTCTTGATGTACGGCCCAAAGCTGAGAAGGGCAATTTCTTCTATCAGAACAGTAAAGCAACAAAAGGCTATCTGGGACAGATACTCCACAGGGCATGAGAAACACTGATAAAATCTCTACAGTGGAGTATTGAAGTGCACTAACATGATTAGCTGTTGGTTTCAATTTGTCATAAAATTTTAAAATAAAGGATGCATTCTCACCAGAACTAAAAAACTAAAAACTAAATAAATAAATAAGCCACCGAAAGCAAGATGGCTCAGTAGAAACAGGTGCTTGCCATCAATCCCAGGGCCCCACAGGGTGCAAGGAAAGAACCAACTCTCCCAAGTTGCCCCCTAATCAACACCTCCCCCAAAATAAATATAATTAAAAACTAAAGGAAGGGATGAGTGAGTAAAAGATGCTGTACTTTTACGTGTGTCATTAATAGTGTGCCTTGGCCAGCGAGATGGCTCAGTGGGTAAAGGTACGTGCTACGAAGCCTGAAAAGCTGAGTTCGAGCCCTGGGTTGTAACAGACAACCAATTTCCATAAATGCGGCAGCACTTCTGCATGAGCACAAGCACCCTACACGCGCACACACACACACACACACACACACACACACACACACACACACACTAAAACAAATGTGAAAACAAAGTGTGCCAAATGAAAATCCTGGAAGATACTATCAATGTCATACATGTAGTCCCAGAGAGAAGTGTATCCAGTAAAGATGTTATCTGAATGGACTATGTGTCCTGGAAGATACTATCAATGTCATACATGTAGTCCCAGAGAGAAGTATATCCAGTAAAAATGTTATCTGAATGGACTATGTATGATGACAAAGTTGCTGCGGTACCTCAAAGGCAGCCGGGAAAAGTATACTGTGTTCCTGCTGGAAGGATGAGGCACACTACAGATAACAAGCTGTTGAAACGGGCACAGAGGGGCTGGTGAGATGATTCAGTGAGTACAGTGCTTGCTATGCAAGCCTGCTGACCCACGTTCAATCTCTGGAACCCACATCAGGAGGAAGGAACAACTCTACAAAGTTATCCTCTGACCTCCATGGACACACACCCACACACACATCACGCACAATAATAAATTAAATAAAAAGGGGAGCTGGAAAGATGGCTCAGCGGTTAAGGGCACGACTGCTCTTCCAGAGGATCCAGGTTCAATTCCCAGCACCTACATGGCAGCTCACAACTGTCTGTAACTCCAAGATCTGACAGCCTCATACAGACACACATGCAGGCAAAATGTCAACACACATAAAAGTAATTTTTAAAAACTAAATTAAATAAAGAGAAATAGGCACTAAAAGGAATACATTATCCAATACATAAATGAAAAATATTTACAAGCTGTTGATTGAACAGAATTAGTAGCAATATTCAACACTGTATACAGGAGCTTTAATTATGGACACACAACACTAAGATTGCAGTAATACACTGCAAGGTACTATCTACGTATCTATCTGATCACATAAATTCTAGATTTTGAGTTAGATCAGAACACAGAACTCTTATTACTTACTTACACACAAAAAAAATTTACCACATACTCATTTTTAAATCATTAACTCAAGGTGGACACACCTATACTCACAATGTGGGACGCCCGAGGAAGGAGGAATGAGTCCAAGGCTGGCAAGCCCACACAACATAGCAAGACCAAATAATAAATACCCAAATTTGAAGTTTCAAGGTCCCTTTATTTTACTTATTTGAATTCACAGCAAGTAAAAATGGTGGCTAGGGAACAAGACGGTTTGGGAGTAGCATGGGTGAAGGTGGCGGGTGGGTGGGTAGGGGGAGGAGGAGGCACAAAGGAGAAAGATCTATTCACCAGAACAAGATTACAAAGCAAAAATTAAACAATACTTATAAAATATCATCCCAAAACAATATAAACCAGACACAGACTTTCACTATGTAATGCTGATGGCCTCTAACATGTGATTTCCTGCCTCAGTTTCCCAAGCACTAGCACTTCAGGTGGCCCATGCATTATAGCTTATAAGAATACAGCTGAGGGCTCTTACTCACTTGAAACAGCCAAGTGATTTCCCCTTTCAAAACAAATGCCTGGTAGTTACAATTAAAAATCTGCTTATTTTCCCCCAGAACAAGTTTTAAATGAGGTTAAAAAAGATTGATTCAGAAATTGCTATATAGAAAAAAAAAAAACTGGGAAAAGGGAAAAAAATTAATGTATGTCAAAATAAAATGTGTGTATGTCCTCTGACCTAGAATACAGGACCTTAAAAGCTTACTCTGACAATACACCTCCATAAATACAGGTAAGGGAGAATAAAAAGGCTGGCAAACTGGCTAAAGGCACTTGCAGCATAAGCCTGTCTACCTGAGCTGGGTCACCAGAAACCACACAAAAGAACAACCAACTCCACAAAGTTGTCCTCTGACCACAACCATGTCATCATCATTCAGGTATGAGCATGCACACATACTAATTAAACGAAAGTTAAATTTAAATTTAAAATTAAAAACCAAACACAAGGACATGTATTCACTGAAGGTAACTAATAGATGTTTAAAAAAAATTAGGTGGGATGACAGCTGGGGTACAAGACATTCCTCCTGTCAAACTATCAGCCTACAAATTTATTTAAAAGGAAAATTATCTGTTAAAAAAAAAAAAGTGTTGAGTCTGTGGCTTGGTGCAGAGTGCTTGCCTAGCATCCCCAAGCCCCTGACTCAAATCACCAGCACTGCAAACAAGCAGAGTTCGGTGATGGTCAGGGCTTTTAGCAAACACCAAAATTAAGACCACAACAAATGGATGCCTCCATAAAAAAATATAATACAAACATGTAACATCTACAAATTATCCTATAAATAAACTTTTGAAATCTTTGGAGGTGACAATGGGAAGCTGTGGCACCCAAATTTACTGGAAGCAAGATGTGCCTGTTAACCCAGCACTTGGGAGATGGTGGTAGGAGCATAAATTCAAGGCCAACTAAACCAATAATAAGCTTAAGACTAGCCTGAACTACAAGACACACTGCCTCAAAAAAGAAAAAGGGAAATCTGTCCTATCTGTCCAACCTTGTCAACTACATGAATACAGCCAAATAATGGGTAACCTTTATGACTTACAAATAAATACAATACACACATCTTTTGGTTTTATTTTTTGACACAGGTTTTTGGTATATAGTCCAGGGGGACCTCAAACTTGTAGTGATACTCTTGCCTCTACCTCTCAGCTATTGGGATTGCAGGTATCTGCTACCAAGCCCAGCACAATATAGAAATCTTGAATGGATTATATACCTCCAAATATCCAGAAGCATGCTTTTGTTTTTTTGTTTGTTTGTTAACAATGTAGAGAATTTTGGATGTTTATAGATCAGATACCACATGGCATCATTTTTAATTTTCAGTTGTTTTGTGGTGTGGGGAATCAAACCTAGGGCTTCACACATGCTAGTCAAGTATTCTACCACTGAGCTATATTCCCAATTAGTTTTTAATTTCCTTCTTTTTTAGAGACAAGATCTTATGTGATCCAGGTTGGCCTACAACTTACTTATGGGCAAGGATGACCTTGAACTCCTAATCTTCCTGTTTCTGTGGATTAAATGCTGGGATTACAGGAGTATAGGCTATGACACTCAGTTTATGTGGTACGAGAGATTGAACCTAGGGATTTGTGCAAAATAAGCACTCTACCAACTCAGCTGCATACCTAACTCTATTCTTTAATTTTCTTGATTGAAATCTAGTAATTTTGTTTTGTTTTCCAAGACAGTAGTTCCGTCTGTCCTGGAACTCACTTTGTAGCCCAGGCTGGCCTCGAACTCACAGAGATATGCCTGCCTCTGCCTCCCAAGGGCTGGGATTAAGGGCATGCACCACCATCATCCTGACACATCCCCCTCATTTTCAGTTTACATCTTCTATCTAGTAGAGGAAAGAGCAAACAAACTTTTCTGCAAAGAGGTGAATGTACCATAACAGAAACTGAGCCATAAAATATGCCAGTATATTTAAGATTTTTTTAAAATGTAAAATGGGGAGTGGGGTGGGAGAGAGAACACTAATTTATCAATCTTAACAGTTAATTCTACAATTTTTACTAATAAAGCTTTCCACATCTCTTCTGTTGAGGTCCACATTTTTAAGCAATTTGGTGATGAACAGGCCTAATATCTAACAAAAAATACGTGCAGCATGAACAAGGCCATGGATTTGATTACTAACTAGTACAATGCTATAAATGGGATACAGAAACAAACACGGGCCTGGGAAATTTAGATGTCCAGAGTAGCTCACTATCGTTTATTGCGGTTTTTGTTTGGCTTTTATTTTTTATTTTTTTTTAAGATTTTATTTATTATGTATACAACATTCTGCTTCCATATATATCCGCACATGAGAAGAGGGCACCAGATCTCACTACAGATGGTTGTGAGCCACCATGTGGTTGCTGGGAATTGAAATAAGGACCTGTGGAAGAGCAGCCAGTGCTCTTAACCTCTGAGCCATCTCTCCAGCCCCTGGTTTGGTTTTTAAATACGGTGTTGCACTATGTAGCTCTGGTTAGCCTGGAACTCACTATGTAGACTCCTGAGTGCTTAAGATCTAAAGCATGTACAGCCACACCGGCCTGGGGTTTCTGGAGTGGACTTGGGGTCTACCAACATTTCTACTCTCACAGGAAAAGACGTACATTCTAAGTCACTAGGGAATATGTCTTTGTTTCTGAAGCTAATGGTCAAAATAACATACACACAAAAATACAGCCCAACAATGTGAGTCAAGCTCTCACCTAAGGCGCTGAAATGAGGCCGGGCACTCCACCTACTCCAGCGAAAACTCGTTCCCTTCTGAGAGAAAAAGAAGAAAACAACCGCCCTGCGGTTTCTGCAGAACGGGACAGCGCGGGTCGCGCCCTGTGGGCACATCCCCACCCCGGAGGGGGACGGGTGCAGCAGAGCTCAGCACCCCTGCCCACCCGCTTTCTCCCCATCACCCCCGGGCAGTCCCTGCGAAGCGGCACTCACAAAGGCTGCTCACTCGGGAGGCGCTTCTGTCCAGATAGGGACCGGAAGAGGCGGCCGCGGCCGTATGTCACTTCCGCCCGCACTTGGTGTGCGGCCGGGTAGGGGCTCGGGTCCTACCTTGTTTTACTCCCATTGTCCGAATTCTGCTCCTCGCGGTGAGGACGAAGGCGTGGTCATGGCTTCACAGCGGGAGCTGGCGGCCAACGCTGGCCTCCAGGACAAGACAGATTTAGAGCCCAGGGCGTGGGTCGCGCTAGGGGCGGGAAGGAGTGCTCGGCGGCGCCCAGGCCCTGGCGCCCAAGCTCTTCCACAAAGTTTCCTATGGGTGCTCATCAGAAACTCTTCAGCCTGTCTGCCGCATTAAACTCTTGCTTCCCAGAGCTCCCGAATTCAGCAAGCAACTTAAGGCAGTGTCCCTTCCGCAATCATTCGGACCTTTCAAGGTGTTGGTTTGCTTTTGGTAGGTTGCAACCATAAAGGGTGCTTCAACAAATCGAACCTACCGCTGATGATTCCACCAGGCTCAGAAGCCACCGAAATAATTATTGGGTTTTGTGTCTTAGCGTTCTCCTAACCCTATCTGTATCTTTCCCAGCAACTGTTTCCCTAGTTTCCAGTTGTGTTGAATCCCCTGGGTCCATAAACAAAAAGTGAACTCAAATCTTGTTTGTTGTCATCTCAGGTAACAGAAGAAATGATCAAACAATTCTACACTGTGTGATGCTGACGCTCCCTTGATATATCAATAGCCACTTAAACCAACCCACAGTTCAGTAGCTTAGAATTGTAATGTTATTAGAAGCCTTAAAAAAAAAAAATGTATCGTGCATAGTGTTCTGTCCTCGAGTATCCTCTGCAATGCCAGAAGAGAGCACCGGATCCCATTACAGATGGCTGTGAGCCATCAGTGGTTGCTGGGAATTGAACTCAGGACCTCTGGGAGGCCAGCTAGGTCCCTAACCACTGATCCATCTCTCCAGACCCTATTAGAAGCCTTTTGATGAACTTTCAGAACTGAATTCTGCTGACTTCTATTGGTCACATTAAATTCAGACCAGCTCACGTAAAACGGGAAAGGAGCTGTTACTCCACCTCCTGATGAACTTCGAAGAATTTGTGGCTGTCATTGATATATCACAGGATGTACTGGGCCTTTTGTCAAGAGATCCATTTTGCCCCCTCTGCCATGGATTTAGGTTCAGTCAGGGGCTTGCGTTGCCATAGAAACAATATGCCAAAAATAAATCACTGCACACATAAAACTGAAGGAAAAGTTCTTTGTGAAATCATGCTGCCAAACTGGGTCTAAGAACCAAATGAGAGCTGGCCTCAAATAGATTTCACTAACTTATACTGTCATCCTTAAATCTTTTAGGTCCCAGCCCCAGGTTACACTTTGAACATTTAAACAGTGGCAGGAGACTTGCAAGTCTAGCCACCTGGTCAGATGGAAGATTTACACAGCAATATATTGCTGTGTAAATCAGTGTTCTTCCCAAATAGATGTGACCCACTGATTAAGTAAATCAGTGTACTTCTTCCCAAATAGATGTGACCCAGGGTCATGTTGCCCTTCTGGCAGAATTACGCTTTTCTCAAGAAAAGAAACTGGGAACTTTATAGCAGGCCAGGACTTAACATCTGTTGTGCTGCCCCCGGAACTGCCTGTTCAAAACGCATGTTCTTTGGGGATGGGACTAATGGCTGGTCAATCCTGGTGAACAAGCACTTACATCCTAGCATATCTCTAGCAGGCTTGAGTAGCACACTAGTTTGGGGTATGGGGAGGGGGGGCAGCACATCCTTAGCTCAGTTCTACTTTGTGTGATTTAATGTCTCCTAAGCAAATCTATTAACAATACTCTATAACATCGTTACTCTGATTCTCTTCTATGTCAGTGCAATGGTGCATTCATTCTAAGGCTCCACAATTGTGATGCTCAGGAAGTAAATGATGGGAATCTGATTGCTAACTGTCTAGTCAACTCAGAAAGAAACAATATTAACAGACTTTATTTTAAAACTGGATTTAATGTTTTAGAATAGCAACTAAAAGTAAATGGAATACATAAATTTCAAGCATTGGGTAAAATTTCAATGAAAACATCATTACAAAGAGAAGGTACATGCAACAAATACAGAAAAAAAAGTTGCTAAAAATCCAATTTTGTTACTAATTGCATTATACATAATGGTCTAAAAGAATTGTTAATCAGGATTTTTCAAGTATTCAGAGTTTTTAAACTCCAACTAAAGTATGTTTGAAGACACATCTACAGCTGGGTTATAATTCAGTGGTTAGCATGTGTAAAGCCCTAAGTTTGAATCCTAGCACCCCCCAAAAAGTTTAACTAAGGATACAAAAAGAAAGCTTATACATACATACATACACATATATATAGCCATGTAAGTACCTAATAGAGTTGGTGGAATAAAAACTATATAAGAAAGTTTCAATATTTCAAGACAGTTTTTCCCTCCCAAATCATTTACCAGGCCCCCAATTCCACCTTTGGGTGTGTTTTTCTGTTTTATTTTATTTTGGTTTTTGTTTTTGTAAGACAGTCTCTCACAAAGTAGCCCAGTCTCAGGCTATCCTTTAATCTGTGACCCTCCTCCCTTAGCCTCGAATTCCTAAGATCACAGTGTGGCAACACACTCTGCTTGAGATAGATACTCTCCAAAACAATACAGGTTACATTCCAGATTAACTCAATATAAATACAAGGAGAAATAAATGCCGAATGGAAGACAGGCCCAAAGTAAACTTATTATACAACCAGGAAATATTAGGAATATAAGAAAAAAATAAATTTTGTTTCATATGCGAAAATGAAAGCATCCCTAGAAAAATATACTCAAAAAGAATTTTAATGACATTGTAAATATTAGTTATCCTAGAAACATAAAAGATACCAAACAGTTTAAGATGATAGAAAGCAGGTACCCAAACATCAATTATTCTAGGTCAGGATAACTGAACAGGTTAAGAATTTAGTAAGGAATACACTTCACTGTAGTATATGATACTGTTCTAATCTACAGCTAAAAACCAGTCAATCTATTTTAAAATTTTGTTTTGATGGTACTGAGGATTGAAACCAGGATCTTGTACACTGCTACACAGGCACTCCACCTATCCCATACTCCATTTCTTCTTGCATAAGAAAAACTTATATGCCAATGTTACTTAAGAACATCTATGAAAACCTTTGTGTGAGCAAAAATAACGATCACTAAATAGTAAGAATAATCCATCTGGTTCAAAACTGTAGCTCACTGGTAGAGTGCTTGCATACTCCTGGGATTGTTTGATCCCCAGCAATCACACAAAACAAAAATGATCCTTAATGTCCAAGTTAAATATATCTAGGAATTTAAGGTTAACATCAGACAACTAATATATAATCATCATTAATAAATGACTGCCTTTATTTTAGAGTCCTTTTACTCATTCCAGTATTAGGTATTATGGACCAAGGAAATCCTAGGTACTTGAGTCTTACCAGCAAATGAGTATGGTCATCACAGAGGAATACAAGGAAAACAATTAATGAATCCAAGAGGAATTTTACTTCACAATTAAAGAAATACTATAAAATCAGTAAGTAAAATCCAGATATTAAAAAATCTATCTAATAAGCAAATCAGTATGGTGGAGAGCATACCTCATTATAATTCTAAAGAAAAATATGCTTTTACTACTTTAACTATTGTGCTGGACATCATACTCATTTCTGTAAAGAAACCACTAAAGTAGAAAAAAAAAATACCATCATTATCTACAGTTATGACTACCTGTCTGAGAAAACAAAAGAATCTGTATGTAAATATACTGTACTGATGATCCTCTCAAATTCAGGTTAAATCTAAACCACAGCATGATTGTCCAGGTAGCCTTTAGAATTTCACTTGATAGTCAAGGACTTAAGTGGGAATCTCACCCAACAAGGCTGTGACTTTATCAGAAAAGGAAGAAAACCTCATTTTCAGGCTTTGTCATTTGAAAACGTCAAACATGCTGATTTTTTTAATGTGTGTATATGTGCATGCTGGTGTGTTCACACATTTGCATGTGGCATTTGGAAGCCAAAAGATAATCTCAGGTGTCCCCAGTCACTTTCCGTTTTATTTATTGAAGCAGCCAGCATCTCTTGCTGAACTTGGAGCTCATAAATTAAAGTAACCTAGCTACCCAAATCACCTGAGGATTCCCATCTTGTTTTGTAAGCACTGGGATTACAGGTGGGCCTCCATGCCGACCTGGCACTTAGACGGGTTCTAGGGATCCAAATTCTGGTCCTCATGTTTGCATGGCAAGAGCTTTCCCTTAGGAAGCATTTAACTAGCTCCCACAATGTTTTCCTTGTATGAGAAAATAAATTGCTGTATATTATCTGTCCAGGGCTGGAGATAAAAACTAACTTTGCATATGCTAGGCAAGGATTATTACCACTGAGCTAAACCCACAACCCTAAAACTTCATCCAAAATGTCATAATGGAACCCAATACTATGCTAACCTAAAATTTCATTTCTTTTAAAGCAACTTGGTTTATGTTGGTTTTGTGTTATATTTATTGTGTATATAAATGTGTGTACAAGCTGTGGTATTCATGTAGAAGTAGAGGACAACTTGTAGTCGTCCATTCTGTCCTTTTACTTTGTGCATCCCTGGGACTAAACTCAGTTCCTAATTTGATTTAAACCAGGTAAAGCACCTTTACCTTCTAAGCCATTTTGCCAGTGCGTACTATGGTGTTTTGTGGTACTGGGGTACTGCAGTTTAAAAACAAAAACAAAAACAAAAAACAAAAAAAAAAAAAGCAAGTAGCCTTGAAACCGAGTGATGGATAGGTAAAGGCTATTCTGATGAGGACACCCTCAGAAAAGGAACATGAATAAAAAAAAAAATTAATCAGTGACAACATAATGGTCATGAACCTTGCAGAACTATATTCTTGCATTTTGTGTGGAAGTTACAACTTAAGACTGATAAAACAGGAAATTTGTAGCTGGGCGTTGGTGGAGCATGCCTTTAATCCCAGCACTCAGAGGCAGGCGGATCTCTGTCAGTTTGAGGCCAGCCTGGTCTCCAGAGCGAGTGCCAGGATAGGCTCCAAAGCTACATAGAGAACCCCTGTCTCAAAAAACCAAAAAACAGAAAATTTATGTGAGAGCTGTAACTAAAGTGTTCAAAAGGAGCAACTTGGTTCCTCCTGAGTGCTTTTAGTAAAATATGAAAGGGGAGACACTGAAGCTAAGAAGGAATTGTTAAACAAAACAGAACAGTACCTTGAAAAACTCTCAGCCGATCCACATTAAACAATAACTGAGCAATTTGTACTAATGAGACTAAGAGTCAGCTAGGGATATAGCTTAGTGGCAGAGGACTTACCTAGCACCCACAAGGCCCTCAGTTCAATCCTCAGATCATCAATCTCAAACTGAGGAACAGACATTGGATTATATGAACAAAGTTATTGCCACTTCAATCCAAAATAGATCCAAAAGGTGGACTTTTTCAGTTTGAATTTATTTATAGGATCACGGGATAACATCTGTAAATAGACTAATAAGGACTATTTCTTGGTATGCTTATTGGAATCAATGGGGTCAGAGTAGTTTCCTGGATTGTGTCTTTCCACAATATACCGTGTCCTTTATTATTTTGGCTTGTGGTGAATTTTCACATTAACAAGACACACTGGCAGCCACTAACCAACAAAAGGATCCAATCTGTTTCATTATTTCATAACATTTGGAAATGTTATAATCACTAAGAGTAAACCATCAGAATGAGGCCATCTTGTATACTGGCCTCATTTATGACCCACAAATGCTCAGACTCAAGCATCCATAAAAAGGTTTCGGGGATGTAGCTCAGTGATTGAGTGCTTGCCTAGCATGTGTGATGTTCTAGGTCAATCCTCAGCACTGCCCAAAAGACGAAAAGTTTGAGGGGGCACCTAAATTATCCTATTTCATAAAATTAGGATGGTGTCTAAGGCCAGTGTGAGACATTGTAACCCACACAAAGCTGTTAAGACTAATCTGATCTTTGGTGTCACTGTCAATATTTAAAGATGGCAACAGATGGGCTAAATAGCAACACTCATACCCTCACATTGATAGGGCTTTTCTTCAGTGTGAACTCTGCTATGTTTCCTCAGACGTGAGTAAACAGCAAATGCTTTCCCACACTGCTTACATATATAGGGCTTCTCTCCAGTGTGGGTTCGCATATGAATGTTAAGCGATGTGGAATATATAAATGCCTTCCCACATACATTACATACAAAGGGCTTTTCGCCACTGTGAATTTTCAGATGTTTTGTGCGATGGGAGGAAGTTATGAAGGTTTTCCCACAATGAACACATTCGAAAGGCTTCTCTCCTGTGTGAGTTCTCACGTGATGAATCAGACCAGAGGTCCTGGTAAAGGCCTTCCCACATTCCTTACATTCAAAGGGCTTCTCTCCACTATGAATTCGTACATGTGTGGCAAGGCCTGAGTACTGAGTGAAGGCTTTCCCACACTCCTTACATTCATAAGGTTTGATTCCAGTGTGTGTTCTTATATGTTCAGTAAGCTGAGTAGATCTAGAAAAGGTTTTTCCACATTCCTTACATTCGTAAGGCTTTTCCCCAGTGTGAACTCTTATGTGTTCAGTAAGGCCTGACCATCGAAGGAAGGCTTTCCCACATTCCATACATTTGTATGATTTTATTCCAGTGTGAATTCTAACGTGATCATTAAGGTATGACACATTTTTAAAGGCCTTTCCACACTCCTTGCATACAAAGGGCTTTTCTTCAGTATGAGTTTTTACATGTGCAGAAAGTCGAGAAAAATTAGCAAAGGACTTCCCACATATCTTACACACTTTGGATTTTTCTTCAGTATGAATTGATACATACTGAGTTAGGTGTGAGGAAACCGTGAAGGCTTTCCAACATTCTTTGCAGTCACAGAATTTTTCTCCAGTGCACATTCCCATGGGATTATTAAGGCATGCAAAATACTGAAAGTCCTTTCCACATTCCTCAAATTTGTAGGGGTTTCTTGCATTGAGAATCGGAAGATGCATAGCAAAACTTGTGGGATGAATAAAACCATTCCCATATTTATTCCAGTCATAGGGTTCTCCTCCATTGTGAGGCCTCATATCTGTCTGAAAGTATGACTGATTAAAAAATACTGTCTCACAGTCTGTGAATTCAAAAGGTTTCTCATTTGTGCTAGTGCTTGGGTACATGATGTTTGGAGTCAGACTGAAGATTTTTCCACACTGATTAAGTTCAGAAACATTCTGTCCGGTAGAGGTTTCCTTGAGCAAAGAAAGAATGTCTTTCCCATACCAGTTACACTCAGAACTGTATCCTTGGCTTGACATGCTCACCTCTGTGTTAAGGCATAATTGTTCACCCAACACTTCTCCACCTGGCTTAGAGTCACAAATGTCCTCTTCACTGTGGTTTCCTGACTGTTGAGGAAGGGATGAATCACCCACCTGAAGACAAAAACATTTTTATATTCATCATGAATTTTTTAGTTTCTTTTCCATGCAATTATTTCCTGACCTCTATTTTTGCCAAACTGAATGACAGATCCCTTTGCCAAAATCTAGATGACTGGCTAATTATATGCATTTTTAAAAAGTGTGTAATTTCATAAAACTGCTTAAAACTTCCATGTCTAATTGCATATGGAAAAATACATACTATTAGAAACAATGAGATATAATCTTTATGGTATATTTGGGGATTCTCCCAAGCCATGGTATTCCAAATAATTCTCCAGAAGCATCAATTCCTTTGAGTGCAGACTATTCATCTCAAATAGTTCTCTATAGAAGAACTCCCTCCTCTCTTTCTTTCTTTCTTTCTTTCTTTCTTTCTTTCTTTCTTTCTTTTGAGTAGGAAATAGAAAATCTTACCATTTCTAGTTCATCAGAACTTTGCATCTTAAAATAATTCTGAAGTTCTGAATCATCAATTCTAGGTTGTAATTCCAATTCTGCAAGTTAAACAGAAAGAGAAATAAGAAGCTGAGAAAATAAATGGTACATAAAGGTGGTAAGGGTCATTTGTCCTTTTTTTTTTTTTTTCATGGAAAAGCCATGTATTCCATTATAAGCACTTACACAGTTAGTCATGGAGAGTAATAGGCCTGATGGTGAGACAGGTTAACCAAACTGGAGATGGCATCAAACTATAGTGGTCAAGGACTAACTCCTAAAAAATCAACTCTTATCAAGGATTAATTTCATTTTAAAAACAAATACAAACTAGCAATACACTCTTTCTCAACTTGACAGTCATGAGTGGTATGACTGTCACCTAAAAACATACATTTTACAACTTGGTGGTCCCAAGTTCAAAAAACAAAACAAAAAAACCCGCACACAACAAAACCATTTCACAGAAACGAAAAGAATAATATGGAAACAGCTCAAGAAATACACTATTGAGCAAAAATATAAGGGAAGGAGGAACGTGCAGTCTTAACTAAAGAAACCAAGAGTCTGGTTTACATAGGCAAATGTGCATCTGGGAAAGCCAGGTGAGAGGACCTTAAGCTCTATAACTTGAATCTCCCCTAATTCCTGAATAAAAATGGCATCTTGCAATATTTATACTAATGGCTCAGACACCTACTTCACTTGGCTCTAACTCCTTATCCATTCTGGCCTCTTACTTGAGAATCTGAAAAACTTGGGGATATAGCTTAAGAAGAAAAACAATCATCACATAATACACCCCATTTCTAAGCTACTTTAGACCTGGGTTTGTTACTAGAAAATTCCTGAAGAAAATTTAAATATAAGTCTGTGGCTTTGTTGAATTAAATCCCCCAGTTAAGATTTAGAAAACACCCATGGCTTGGGCTCATAGTATTGTTGGTGGCACCTATTATAGCTGGATAGCTGAACAAAGTCTGTGTCACAAACCAGTGTTAGTTCCACCTCAGGGCTCAGAAGAAAACAAGGGGAGTCTAAATCACAAGTGTAGGCATGTCTACGATCCTTGTCCTTCTGGATCCACACTTCCTTCAGGGTCTTCCAGAATTATAAATGTTCTCTGCCATCGGCCACACTTACATGATATTGTCCTCTGATACAGAACAAATCACCCAAGGTTCATTGGGATTCCAGGAGAAATCAGGTATCTTGGCAGTGTGACCATGAGTAAACACCATGAGTAAACAATAACTATGGTGGGCCATCTTCTGCATCTTCTGGGGACTCTCCTTCTCCAGTTTTACTTAAATCCCAGACATTCAGCCTATGGTCAGTACCACTAGAAGCCAAAATAGTCTCGTTGTGAGGTGACAACTGAACTTGGAATATTTCATCCTTATGTGACTCAAAGGAATGCAACTTGAGTTTCAGGTTTTTCAGATCCCACAAGGCAAGAGTCTTGTCAGCTGATCCTGTGGCAAGAATGAGCTCATTATAAGGATTGAAAGACAGGCAGTTCACTCCAGCAGTATGAGCATCAACTGAGTGGCTTGGCTTGGAAGTATTGTTTGAATGAGTATCCCAGATCATAAGTTTCTGATTGTCAGCCACAGACCCAAACAGAGACTCGTGGACCAGATGCCAGGAAACGTCCTCTACTACTGCTGTATGCCCTGTGAAGATGGTCTTTGCATCCACCACCTTTCCTTCTTTTGGAACTGCACTGATGTCCCACAGGCAGATGGTATGGTCATGTGAAGCTCTAAGTAAGTGCCCACTGAGATTTGGATTCCAAGAAAGACCATAACCTTCCTTCTGATGTCCATGGAGACGTAAATCTGGGTTGTACTCTCTAGAGGTCTGGTTTAGAAGGATGCTTTGTGTAGTCAAAAACAAGCACATCACCAGATGTTGCAATGATGCAAGGATTTATCTTGATTTCTATTTCAATTTTCCCACTGATAGAGCCAAAACCTCCAAATTCTCCTTTCTCATTGTCATAGTGCAATGCATCAAACTGAGCTTCATCATTAGGAAGCTGGACACTGGCTGTCACCAGATGGTTTTGTTCATCTGACATATGTGTTCCCAGGACAAGCCGGTGAATGCTGAAGTCTTTTCCTTCAGGCCTGGTTACATCTGGAAGCTAAACTGGGCCACTCCAGGGCATGAGTCATCACCAAATCATAAAGAAAAGGGGTATTTATTCTTCTTCCATATTTTGTATTCCTCATTGATCACACGCTCTTCCACCGAGTCGTCAAAGGCAACTTCCTTGTCAGCCATGGTGGCAGGTGAGCCGGGAGGGGTTGGGGGATCCCAGGGTCATGCGTTGCAGGAGGGGCGGGGAGGCTACGGGCCTGTCCTGCTTTTCATTTAAGCACATTAACAAAATAAAAGTGAGGGCTGGAAAGATGGCTCAGACAAATGGCTGAAGCTCAAAACCAAAAGGATGAGAAAATGAAGTGAGACAGACGTAATAGTACATGATTGTGATCTTGAAGCATAAGAGGTTCAAGCCAGAGAATCTTTCTTGTGTTCAAGAGCAGCCTGGCCTAGGACACTTTGTTTCAAAATTAGTAACAGAAAAACAAGGAAAAGGGGCAGGGGAAGACTGCTAGTTGATAAACCATGAAGACCTGAGTTTGAACCCGGTAACCCACTTTGAAATGCCAGACATAGTGGCACTTGCTAATAATCCCAGCACTGGAGATGCAGAGACAGGCACATCCCTGAGGCTCACTGTTCAACCAAACTAGCCTTGTCAGTAAACCCCAGATCTCAATGAGAGACCTGGTCTAGAAATATAAGGTGGAGACTGCCTTGTCACCAAACTTGATAATCTGAGTTCCAGCCCTGGAAATGACATGGAGGAAAGAGAAAATTCCAAAATTGTTCTCTGACTTCCACAGGTGTGCTGTGTTGTGTACACACACAGATTTAAGGATTTTGTTATGTTAAGAACTGCACAGTGAGTAAAATGGTTGCCTCATTGAGCCCAGGCACTGGGCTCAATTCCTAGCACCTCCAAAACAAGAACAAAAAAAGCTGTAATTTAAATAATAATAAGCCGGGCAGTGGTGGCACTCGCCTTGAATCCCAGCAGAGGCAGGTGGATCTCTATGAGTTTAAGACCGGTCTGGTCTACAAGAGCTAGCTCCAGGACAGCCTCCAAAGCTACAGAGAAACTCTGCCTCAAAAAATCAAAAGAAAAAAAGACCACAACTGTGAGAAAAATGCCTCCAATCTCTGAGGCCAGTATGTTGTTAAAAAACTTGATTACAGTTGCAAAACAATACTGAACACATCACACAGATTTCTACATGCATACTGACCTTGAGGAACTGTGCTTTCCACCGTCTCCAACTCTTCCTGTTTTAACCAGGGGGTCACACTAGGAATGAAGAACTGACATCCTACATATGCAGAAACATGTATGAGTGGAAGAAGTTCAAACAAGAGACGACAAACTCTTATATGACTAAGGAAATCATAGTTCAAATGAAAGCAAGGCAATTCTTTCAAAATGAGTAAAAATGCAAATACAGGGGAGCGGAGGGGAGGGAAGGGAGAGTTGTAGCTTAGTGGTAGAGTGCCTGGTTAACATAACTACGGCTCTAAGTGTAACCTCTAGCACCATAAAAGAAAAGACAATGTTCCTATTTCTGTGTCTCCAAAAGGAGCCCTTGAAAGCCAAATGCAAGTTAATTAATGTACACTTTCAAGAGGAGCTATACCTCAAGGATAGAACATTTTCCTAGCATGTGTTTCATCCCTGGCACATTCTCCGGTGTCTCTCTCTCTCTCTCTCTCTCTCTCTCTCTCTCTCTCTCTCCCCCCCCCCCCGCCTCTGTCTCTAAAAACAAATCTACTTTGCCTGGCACAGAGGCATATGAAACTTGAAATCCTATAACGTGAGAGGATAAGGACAGAGAATGCTAAGTTTGAGGCCAACCTGGACTATACACAGATTTTATTGCCAAAAATAGGTGAGGGTCACAATGAGATTAAAAGAAAGAAAAGGGAAAGGGGTTAAAAAGAAAAGTGGAAAAGAGAAAGGAAAAATGAAAGTATAGAGGAAAAAAAGGAAAAGGAAGACAGATGTTGTGGCCACACCTTTAATCCCAGCAGTTGAGAGGCAAAGGCAGGCAGATCTATCTCAACCTGATCTACACAGGGAGTTCCAAAGACAGACAGAACTGTGTCACTCCCTCCCCCCAAAAAGAAAGAAAACAAAACAAACAAAAACAATAAAATTAGAGTTCTCAAAAGAAAAAGGGTGGCTAAGAAATAATCCCTTTTAGATGTTCACTATTAGGAAGAATCTGGGAGGAGTTAGGGATGTTTTACATGAAAAAAATAGTTTAAATATTCAGCATCCTTAGCACTAAAAGAATGCAAATACAAACAACTTTGAAATTTCACCTAGGCCTACTCAAAATGACAAAGATCAACAAATAACCAGTAACAAATGCTGAAGGCGATGAGGGGAAATGGGAACCCTCATCCACTGTTCAAAGGACTGTAAATTAACACAGGCAGTATGGAATCAGTATAGAGAAATTCTCAAAAAGCATATGACCCAGCTATACCACTCCTTGGCATATGTCCAAGGCCTTGAAATTCTATTCCAGATAGTTGCTCATCTATGTTCACTGCTGATCAAGTAGATCAAGTAGAAACAACCTAAATGTCCTTCAACCAACAAATAAGATAATGAAAATGTGGCACATATAACTTATGGTTAAAGAACAGGTAAATGGATGGGACTACAAAAGATCACAGTGAGTGAGGTACACAAGACCCAGACAGAGATCACATGTTCTTTCTCATCCAGGCTCCTGGTTCCACATCTTCAGATGTGAGTATAAAACCTGGAGTAGCTGTAGAAACCAGGAAAGTAGAAACGACCATTGCTGGAGTCAGGAGAGTGGGGTAGTAACAGAGCACAGCAGAGTATAGGTAATCTGACATGAGAAGTAGGAAAAATGGAGGAGGGGCTTTGATAAGGAAGAGGGAGGGAGAAAACACAGGAGGAAGGAAGGTAAAATAATAGGAAGGATGTCTGAAAAAGTTATAAGGGAGCCGGGCATTGGTGGTGCACGCCTTTAATCCCAGCACTCGGGAGGCAGAGGCAGGAGGATCTCTTTGAGTTCGAGACCAGCTTGGTCTCCAGAGCAAGTTCCAGGACAGGCTCCAAAGCAATACAGAGAAACCCTGTCTCGAAAAACCATAAAAAAAGAAAAAAGTTATAAGGGATCATAGTATTGACTACCTAAAAATACCCATAGTACACATAATTTGGCACATATAAATATAGATACATAGTTTAAATGACATTTTTCCACCTGAGCTGACAATGCTCCAAGAGCCAAAGACCATCTAACAAAAAAAGACCATCTAACAAAGACCATCAACACTGGACAAGAGAAGTCCTCCTTTGAGTTGTTGAACAGGGTTGTCTATGAGACTCCAAAAACACTACAGGTTAATGCTACTGCCCTTGGTCGCCCCCAGAGGTAAAAGGTTAAGTCCCATTTCAGGAATTGGGACTTAATTCACTTCAGACACAAGACCCATGGGCCCCTGAGCTACAACTGACCTGAATGCTTCCTATCTGAGGACTAGCTTTCATTGTACCAGAAGGTGCCACAAAAGCTTCCAAAACAGGGAAGCAAGTGAGTCCAACCCAGCTATGATACCTCTGAACCACAACAAAAACCAGCATGACATAATAGCCAAAAGGATACAAAAGTGGCACACATACCCTGGAGGAAACCAACAACTCTCAAATTTGCTTTAAGACTTACTCAATGAGAGGGAAATCATGCCTGGAACTGGAAACCAGAGGTCTTGGAGAACTTATAGCCACCACTTTACTAACCCAGCATAACCCAACTACATTCTAAATATTTGTCTTCATACAGATAAGTACAGTCCTTACCCCTCATCAAAGAAACTTCTCTTTGGAACAGATGGAGACCATGAATGAAAACCACAGCCAATCAAAATGCTGAATTAAAGAGCCCAGTCACAATGGATACAGCTACAAAACCACTGCTGCACCTAAGGTTCAGGAAACATTTTTGGAAGAGGTGGAAAGACTATAAAAGTCAGAAGATCAGAAAGTTTGCTGTGAGATTTTTATCTCTTAGTAATGTCAGAAGCTATGTCCATAAAGTATCAACAATATGACTGCCTAAATATGAACTGGACAAGGAAGACACCAACAGACATGCTCATATGGGAGGAGGGAGTTAGCTCATGACGCTAATAAGGCCTCAACCCTACGCAAAGAATACAAACAACTAAGGTATGCTAAAAAGGGGAAGAAATAGTCTTTCCCTGGGGAATGGTCAACCCTGAAAAATACACATACAAGCAAAACTATGCAGACTTTGTAGACTTTATTAAATATTTAGGAACACACACACCCCACATGCATGCACACAAACACAAGAATTAGAAAAGTCATTTTTTGGTTTGTTTTTGTTGTTTTGATTTTTTTTGAGACAGGCTTTCATTACGTACCCCTGGATAGCCTGGCCTGGAATTTGTTATATAGACCAGGCTGACCTTGAACTCGGAAACACACCTGCCTGTGCTTCTGCCTCTCAAGCGCTGGGATCAAAGGTGTGAGCCCCTTGACCCCACCCCTGTACAAAAGCAGTTTCATTTTTAAAACTGCATCTGTCATTCCACTATATGCATAATTAACATGATCAATCTCCAACACATTAAGAAGCATGTAATATGCATCTGTTTCATAAAAAGTAATAAGGAATGCAGCAGCCTTACCTACTGAGGTCAGATTTTCATAGTTCTCCAGCATCACCTCTCTGTACAGGTTTCTCTGAGTCAGGTCCAGTAAAGTCCACTCATCTGGGGTGAACTCCACAGTCACATCATCGAAGGTCACTGAATCCTAAACCATTACACACATGTTGGTTTGAGCCAATAACAGTCTTGATAGTACTCAATGGAAAATTAGGAAGGTGGACCTAATACCTATACATGGTTCTCAGATCAGCCTCAATCCAGCTGCAGGATTCAATGGCCCCAGGAACTCTTCTCTCTAAACTCACTCTCTGTTGACCTTCTACTGTCACATGACTTTAGCAGCACTTCATAAGCACGATTTCTACCAGCACAGCCAGGCTAGAAGCTCTTCTCGTCCTACTGTCTCATTGTAGCATATTCCTAAGCAAACTGTAGATATCTAATAAGTAGATCTTCTGAGAAAAGGGTGCTCTCACCTGCCTTATCATCTGTCAGAGCACTTAACAAAACAAAAACATGCAGTTATCATATGAGGCTCACGATTAGTTAGTAGAGGCCTAAGACTGTAATCCCCAACACTGGGGAGGAAGGTTGAGACCAGCCAGGACTGGTTAAAGGTTAGACTATACTGCTAGACCCTATATAAAACAAACAAACAAAGGGATTACCTAGTGGAGTAGGGGATATAACTCAATGGTAAAGCATGTGCCTAGCATGGGTAAAAAGGCTCTGGTTCAATCCCAAGCCAAGCAAACACATTAAGTAGCAATTACAGAAACGCTAGAATGATTTGCAAGGTCACCAATACAAGGCTCTCTGTTCATCAGGGAAATTCACCAGACACTCTTCACCCCCTAGGGAAAATGCATTTCCTTTAAAGTCCTGGAGATTAAGTCTGTCTAGACTCTAGAAGGAAATGCATCTAGATCATGGATGAAAAAGTTATTTGGTAGAATGATATCCTTTCTTTTTACCTGGTAACAATTTGCCTGGTTGTCAGTCACTGTCCCTTCTACTTCTGTGTTTTCTTCATAGATGCAGATAGGCTCTCTAGAAAGAAGGCCTGATAGGAAAGAAAGAGGGCATCAAATCCCAGAGTCATGAAATCATTCCACTCTAGTGTGACATTCCCCTGTCACCTTCACATTCATCAAACCACATAAATACATGTTCCTACCAAGAAATGCCACAGCACTTACATCTCCCCTGGAGAGGGGACAGGCTAGGAACTGTGCTGCCTGCTGAGAAAGGGAGTGTTCTCACTTTAGAAATGAAGAAACTTAAGGTGTGAAAAACAAGACTCTGGGGCTAATTCGACGGCACCATCAGGTTAACTTGAATACTGAGACCTGATGCCCAGAGTCTGATCCCAGGATTCCACAATGAAGGAGAAAACTGACTCCCAAAAAAGTCCTCTGACTTCCACATGTACCCTCACTCACACAAATACATACACACAATAATAATAATAATTAAATAAAATAAAAATGAAAAACTGGCTCTACATTGCCCCTGGTGACAAAACTCATGACAATTATACAGCACCTGTTCTGAAAGCATACACACGGGGCCCTAAATCACAGAGCACCATTCATTATGTGGCCCATTTCAGCTCTTTGTAAATGAACACACAAGACTACTGAAGCCCTGCCCACTGGACTTTGCTGTGCAGGAGAGACCTAAAACAGTCTAAAAAAGAGCTTCAACAAGGACTTACCATGGGACAAATCAATGGCTGCCATCCCGTGATGCTGATGGTGAAATGTGCCTGAACACTCCCTTCCCTGATGCCAAGATCACTTCGGGACAGCTTATGAATCTAAGTGGACAGAGGCAATCTCCATTCCTCTTAATACAGGGTTATATGGAGTCCTGTTCACATCAATCATTAATCAACAACATCGAACGTCAGTCAGCAAACATCACACAGTAGTGCTCACTCTCTGCAGATAATATATGTGAAACCCACCGGCAAACATCTACTCACTAACAATAGCCATACACATACCAATTAACATTTACTAGTTTTGTCAGAAGTTGTACTAGCACCTTTACATATATAAGCTCATGTTATCATAACCATCCTACACAGTAGATATCGTTCGTTACCCACAACTAAAAAACCCACATCCAGGCAGCACTAGTAATCAGTCTAGTAGTACCCTGTTTGGAAACAAACTGAGACTTGATTAAGCTGAGTTTGTCCAGAAAGCTTGATTTTCTATGACTGCTACTGCTCCCTAACGTGACAAAACATGGACCCACCACAGCACTATTCAAGATTCACTAGTTCCGTACGTAAATGACTACTCCCTATGTACATATTATGAATTAATTTTTAAAAACTAAAACTGAAATAGTTTTAAAAATCAACATGACTGTTATTTGACAACTCATACGTAAGAGTCTGGCACAAGGCCCAATGCCACAGGCTTAATAGTAGCACTTAAGAGGCCAAGGCAGGAAGACTGTAAGTTAGAGCCTCAACCACATAAAGACACCCAGTTTTAAGAAACAAAAATAAATAAATTAATTAATGAAAAAAAAAAAAAAAACACATGGTGGCACATGCCCTTCATCCCAGCACTCGGGAGGCAGAGGCAGACAGATCTCTGTGAGTTTAAGGCCAGCCTGGTCTACAGAGTGAGTTCCTAGACAGCAGAGCTATACAGAGAAACCCTGTCTCGGAAAACAAAACATACCAAACAAACAAAAAAAGTTTGGAATAGCTTGTCTATTTGAGTCCATTTTACTTTTTTCTTTTCTCTTTTTTTAAAGGGCTGTATCTCATATACTGTGTTATAAGGGCTGGCCTTGAACTCACCATGTGACTAACTAAGGATGACTTTGAACCTCTGATCCTTCTACTTCTATCTCACAACTACTAGGATTGCAGATGTGTTCCACCATGCCTGGCTTATGTGGTGCTGGGCTAGAACTCAGGGCCTTGTGTACACTAGCCAAGCACTCTGCCATGGGACTACATACCCAGCCTTGTGTCTGTGACTATGAACTGTATCCAGGGTCTCATGTAAGTAAACACACACTAATCTACACCTCCAGGTTCTGAATTTTTTAAAACTATTAATCTCATTTATTATAAACATAAATCAAATATGTCTGGAAAAGAACTTAAGCATCTGAATCTTTTATTATGTATTAAAATGGTATTTTCAATATACGGGTTAAAATAAAAACATTACAAATAATCTTACCTCTTCTATTTCATTTACTGTAGGTACTGGAAGTTTATTTCAGGTCTGGCTTATTCTTTAATTCTTTCAGCAAATTATTAGGAAGTCCTATTCCTGTGGTAGGCATGAGCTGAGCAGGGAAGGACACAGAAAATATTCTGTTCTGTAAAGACCTAGAAGTCCTATGGGGAAATATAACCATAACAAAAGAACTGATATATTACTTCATAAGTGCTACAGGGAAATCAAGCAGCTGAGGAGAGTCCTGCATATGCACACACAGGAAGCACAAAACTGAAAACTCTTTGGGGACAAGATGGCAACAAAAAAGAAAACTAACACTGGCTATGTTATCTTTGACCAAAAGAATAGAATAAGAATTGACAGGAATTTTTTTTTTTTTAAAGGAACTGAGGGCTAGAGAGACAGTTCAGTGTCTTAAGAGCACTGGTTACTCTTGTAGGAGACGTGGGTTCAATTCCCAGCATCCATAAGGCAGCTCACACTGTCTGTTACTCCAGTTCCAGGGAATCTAACACGCTCTGAGGACACCAGACATAAAAGTGGTGCACACACATGCAGGCAAAACACCCATTCACATAAAATAAAATTTTAAATTTTCTTAAAAACCAAACAAACAAAACCTGGGGAGAGAGTTCAGTAAGTAAAGTGCTTGTCATGCAAGCATGAGGACCTAGGTTCTAACATCAGTACCCACGGAAAAATATGGGCACATAATCCCAGTGTTGGGAAGGCAAAGACAGGAAGGAAGATCCCTGGAGCCCACTGCCTAGTCCCATCAAAACAGAGTTCTGGGTTCAACGAGAGATCCTGCCTCAAAACATAAGGGGGACAGTAGATGGAGAGATGGCTGAGCAGTAAGAGCACTTGCTGCTTTTGCAGAGGACCTGAGTTCAATTCCCAGCATCCACATCTAACAGCTCACACTGCCTGTTAACTCCAACTCCAGGAAATCCAATGGCCTCTTCTGGCCTCAAAGCGTACCCACACACACAACAGACAAAGACACAATAAATAATAAACTAAATCTCTGAAAAATAAGGTAAGAGTGATTGCAGAACACACCCAACATTTGCCTCTTGCCTCTACACACACAGCACACACAGCACACACACACACACACACACACACATACACACACACACACACACACAAACTCAGAGCACATCCCAAGTACTAGGGTCTTGGTTGTAAACACTAGAATCATACATAAATGCCCTTTCTTCTTCATATTGGCACAGGGTCAAGGATTGGTCAGAATCTGCCCAGCTCTTTAGCATGCAGTAACTTTTTAAATAAAGAATACCAGGTGTTTTAAAACAAAAAATATCAAGTTTCTTTGTCTTTTTCTTCTCTCTTTATACAACCTGGCTCCCAACAGGAAGACATGGTTGGCCTTGAACTCATCACAGTCCTGCCTCTACCTTCTAAGTGTTGGCATGTACCATCAAAGTTCTTCTTTTCATACTTGAGCATAGTAGCCAAATGCTAAACCACTAAAGCTATATCCCCAGCCAGAGGCTGATCTTCTGGTTTCATTTCTCCAACAATTTCCTTCATTTTTCTTTTCTTTTCTTTTTTGGTTTTTCAAGACAGGGTTTCTCTGTGGCTTTGGAGGCTGTCCTAGAACTAGCTCTTGTAGACCAGGCTAGTCCCGAACTCACATATATCTGCCTGCCTCTGCCTCCTGAGTGCTGGGATTAAAGGTGTGCGCCACCAACGCCCGGCCGCCTTTTATTTTTCTTTAGTGTTACCTTGCAAGATATAGTTCAAAGATTGGCCCTTAAAATAGATAAATAAATACAAATAATATATAAATATATTATATAAAATTCATATTATATAAAAAACCCCATGAAAACCAATACTTTCAAGACAGATGCAAGAAGACTTTAAAGCCAGCCTGGGCAAAATAGCAATAATTATCTTAAAAACAAAACAAAACAGACTTGTAATCCCAACCACTGGAGCAGCTGAAGCAAAATGATGGATTGAAAGCTCGAAGCTGGCTTGAGCTATAGAGTGAGTTCAAGGCCAGTCTGGGCAAATCAGTGGAATACTGTCTCAAAAAGAAAAAACAGGCTAAGGATGTAGCTCAGTGATAGAATACACACTTAGGAATGTCACACCCTAGGTTCCCAGGATCCAACCCCACCCCGACAGACATAAATAAATAAGGCCCAGTGAGATGGCTGATGAGGCAAAGGATCAAACTGCTGAGCCTGATGACTTGAGTCCTATCTATCCCCATGTCCCATATGCTAGAATGAGGGACCCTACTCCTGAAAGTTGTCCTCTGACCACCACATGCACACTGTGGCACATACTCTCCTCACAAATAAGATTTCATAAATCCAATAGAATACAGTCTACACACAGTGGAATGCTCTACACAGTGGCATTCCAATGTAAATGTCCCATACCTCATTATCCACCAACAAATTCACCCTCACACAATCCCTACCTATTCTGCTTACTCTATAGCTGATGAATCCCAAATGCTGGACTAAATAATGTCCTAAAAATCACATTTAGACTCCAAGGACAAATAGAGCCCACTAAGAATATCCCTAGAATCTTGTCCTTCTGGTCCCTTTTGAACCCATGCTGGGGCTTCTCATACAGAGCTCCTTTGGGTGGGACAGACATTCAGTAATCACATGAATAACAGTGTTATCTGTGGCTGACTGTCTTGGAAGGTCAAACAGATGCGGCTTTAACTGCCAGCAGCAGTTACTTGTTTACTTTCCAGCCAATGTTGGGATAGAACTTAAGGGCCCATACACTGTAGCTATGTACTTTCCCACACTATCCCCAATCATGATGGTATCTTTTGTTGAGATATTGTCTTACACCATAGCCCAAGCTGGTCTCAAACTTGTAGCAATTCTCCTGTCTCAGCTTAAAGGTGTTTTTTTAAAAAAAAAAAAAAAAAAAAAAAAAAATTGTGAAATGAATGACTCACTGGGTAAAGGCAACTTGAATTTGATTCCCAGATCCTACATGATAAAGAAAAGACATCCAACTTTTCCAAATTGTCCTCTGGCTTCTATGTATATGCCATGGCATTCAAATATCCTACTATACACACAAAATAAATAAATGGAAAAAAATTAATTTTGTAAGTCTTCCAAGTTTAAAAAAAGAAAAGCACTTTTATTTAGTTATGTGTGTGCCTGTACTTACCTGCGCAGGCATATGTGAAAGCCACTATGGCTCTTATATTTTGATTTGGGGATTTCTGATTCGATTAGACTGGCAGGTCAGCTGGCTCCAGGAATCCAACACTCTTTACACTCCTCTAGCACTGGAGTTGCAGCCCACACCACACACATGGGTACTAGGAACTCACACCCACCCACATTCCCGGCTTGCAAAGCTACCTCATTAATCAGATTAATTAATCAGATTAATACTTAATCATATTAAAGTCTTTCAAATGTGCTGAAAACTCAGAACTGTTAACATGCAGGTCCACTTAAGATCTAAGACCCTGCCAGAGGTGGTGGTGAACACCTGTAATTACCACACTAAGGAGGCTGAGACAGGATGTTCACAAGTTTGAGGCTGTCTTGGCTACACAGCATGACTATATCCCAGAATAAATACTAAATTAATAAAATTTTTTAAAAATCTGTAAGAAAAGGAAAACTACAAGGCTATTATTGCAAAAACATAGAACCTAACTTAACAGGACAAATGACAACCATGGCCAATTATCAAATTTCTCATGGAGAAATTAGGGCACTGATCAATATACTATAAACAGGTGAGTGAGTCTTCATGAGATCTTGGGGGATCACTCTGTTACAGCCAAAAAACTTACACTGGAGAAACATGTGAACTAAAAATTTACTCATAGGTGCTAGAAAGGAACACATACAGAAACACAGGGAACCACACAGAACAAAGGAGCTACACCAAACTGGTGGACCTATAAAAAGGTTCATGTCAGAAGCATGGTCCCGAACGGCTCAGTGGTAAAAAGCACTGGCATCCTTCCTGAGGACCCAGGTTCAATTCCCAGCACCCACATAGGTGGATCACAGGAAACTTGAAACTTCCTTCTGGTCTCTGCAGACATCCATCCCTATATGTAATTAAAAATTTTAAAAAAAATTATAAAGCAAGTGGCCAGGGATGAACCATTGGCATTGCTTGCACAGGATGCACAAAACCCTGGATTACACTCCTAGCACCACATAAACCAGGTACAGTAGTATAAGCCTTTAATCCTAGTACTCAGGAGGTAGAGGAAGGATGATAAGTGCAAAGCCACCCTTAGAGGAAAACAGATCATGAGATCTTGTCACACAGAAACAAAATAGGTAGAGATCATTGGCAGAACACTTGCCTAGTATTCTTGAGGCAGAGAATTTCATGTTCAGCAGCACAAAAATATACAATGAAAGTAGACAACAAACTATGCATCGCAGGTACCACAGATGGCTCACAGGTTAAAAGTATTTGCTACTCTTTAGAAGGATCTGGGTTCAATTCCTAGCACCCACACAGCGTCTCACAACCATCTGTAACTCCAATTCCAGGGAATCTGACACTCTCTTCTGGCCTCTGAGAATACTTCATGCACATACATGCAGGCAAAACACCCAAACAAATAAAATAAAAATTTTAATTAAGAAAACCCTACACAATGCATTTAGTGAAGAATAAGAGTATGAAAGGTGAGATGGAGGGAATCTCTTTGGACTCAAATGAAAGCCACACTTTAAAGCTTCCATGACACTCTGAGCTTCCTTGACCAGAGAAGCATTATGTCCACTGGTTGCTCAGAAGACCACCTTTGATCTACTTGAAAACCCTCACTCTGGAGAGATACCTGGAAAACAGGGAGCTCATTTTCTAATGAACTTTCAAAAGCACTAGACTTACTACTATTACAAAACCCAGGGGCAATCTACTGTACAACACCAAAGCCAATACCCCACACAAAAAAACTGTAAGATAGAAACACAGGTCTTGACCTACCATGTCATACAATATATCCACTGGACACACTAACCACAACTAACAAATAGATAACATGAGTATGTGTATGTAACTATATGCAAATGCACGTGCACATGCAGAGGCCAAAGAATGGAAAGATGGCCTTTGACCTATAAATACACAAATACACATGCATACCCACAAAATAAGG